TAAGCTGTAGCTGTCTGTTGTTATTTAAAGAGCAGAAACTACTCTGAGTACCCCACCTCTCCATCTCCTGATGAGTCGTTAGCCTCTATTGATGGTGAGTCATCGTGTTGATTAGATGCAGGAAGGTGTGACCTAGACTGAAACTGAATGAGATTCAAAAAAAAGTTCTAATCTTTTAAACAACGCTGTTGGTCCTCTTGGTCCTTGTTCTGGTTTTCTAAAACCCTGTGTTAAAAAACTTGGTGTGTTTTTAGATGGTTCTTTTAATCTTTACAGACAGGTGAGTGCAGTGGTCCAATAAGGTTTTTATCATTTAAGGCAGATAGCAAAGGTGAAGCCATACCTTCCTGCTAATGTCCTCGAACAATTCATCCACCTGTTCGTGTCTTGCCGATTGGACTACTGCAACTCCCTGTATTCTGGCCTGGACCAGTCCTCCCCACACCGACTTCAGCTGGTCCAAAATGCAGCGGCTTGTTTGCTGACTGGAACCAGCAAGTGGGATCACATAACCCCTGTTCTGGCCTCTCTCCATTGGCTTCCTGTCTCTTACAGGATCCGTTTCAAAACTTTACTTTTTGTTTTTAAATCCCTTCATGGCCTGGCCCCAGTTTACATCTCTGAGCTGCTGTCCGCTTACGTCCCTGCCAGAACCATGAGGTCCAGCTCTCAAGCTCTTTTAACAGTTCCAAAAACCCGCCACCAGACTCGCGGCGACAGAGCGTTCTCTGTGGTCGGGCCCAAACTGTGGAACAAGCTACCTCTCAAATCAGGACCACACAGAATCTAGAGCATTTTAAATCCCTTCTTAAGATGCAATTTTTTGATTTGGCTTTTATTGCAGGCTGACTTGAGCATCTTAATAGTTTTTAACAGTTTTTATAATAGATTTTGACTGTTGTGTGCTCATCTTATTTTAGGTTTTAATTGTTGATTTGTTGTATTTTTATTTGTTTTACCTTGTACAGCGCTTTGGTGTAGCTTTGCTGCGGTTAATGCGCTCTGTAAGTAAAATTGACCTTGACCTTGACCAAAGCTGCATTATTGGTACTGGAAAGGTGAAATCTAAGCCCCGCCCCTATTTAAAGTGGGGTTTTCACGTTTTGACATAGATAGCTTCTTTTACTCCTCTCTCAAATCATCTATCTTCTCTGTCCAGAATGTGGACTTTGTCATCTTCAAAGGTGTGTCCCTTGTCCTTCAGGTGAAGGTGGACTGCAGAGTTTTGACCTGAAGAGATGGCTCTCCTGTGTTGTGTTATGTTCTTGTGTAATTGGTGTTTAGTTTCTCACTACACTGGACTGCATAAACGACCCCACTGAGCTTCTGTTTGGGTGTTTTGTCTTCTGGATGGACCAGGTTCTGTCTGAGGGTGTTGTTGGGTTTAAAGTTTACCGGGATGTTGTGTTCGGAGAAGATTCTTCTAAGTTTCTCTGAGACTCCTGCCACGTATGGGATGATGGTGTCTTTGTGTAAAGGGTGTTGTTGTTAGGTTGGTAGCAGAGCTTTCATGTTTAGTGTTAAGTTCAGTGAGATCATGGAATGGGATCAAGAATTTTCTACAGACAGGAAAAAGATCTCAGCTAACATAGCTGTAGATCACACTGGATAAGTCTCTGTGGTTGCATTTATTTTACATTTATTTTACTACCTCTTACTAGAGCTGTCTTTAGTAAGCACAAAATATCTTTGGTTGTACACCTGTGCAATAGCAATAAAGTATCTTGATTTCTGTTAAATGTACTTCCTGAATGAGTGACCTTTTCAGGCTAAAATAACAAAATGACAAATACAGACAGAAGGACGACTTCTTTCTTCTTTTATAATGCATTGCATCACCACCTGGTATCAGAACAGGACTCAGTATTGGAAGATAATCAAAAATCAAACAACTTGGACTCAGATCAGGGGCAGAAATGTGGTTGTAACATCTCTAGGTATAAATCAGCTTTAAAAACTAAAGCTATTATTTATGAACTAACATTAACACTAATGACACTAATTTATATATTTTTATTATGTTGTTTGAACCCAAGGGTCTCATTATCTGAATTTTCTAACTTATTGGATTGCTCTATAAGTGCCCCTTTTTTTTACTTTGAGCACCCGCCCCGTCAAAGGTCTCTGCACGGCCCTGTGGAGGGATGGGTCCTACTTATGCACCATTCAGCAGGTTAGAATGCTCGCCCTTTTTGGAGTCCTTGGGGAAAAACACTCAGGTGGGCAATGACAGAAAGACCTAATGAGGTGTGGTTGTGAGCAATGATCCTCCTGACCTGAACCTAGTGGTGCTTTGTTATCAGAGTTCTGTGCTCGCCATGGATTGTCCATAATGAAAACCAAGTTCAAGCAGAAAAGTGTCCATATGTGCTCCTCACACAGGATATCTTAGGACGTAGATAAGTGATCGTCTTTGTTGTTGTCTCACCTGAAACTCACATGAAAAGAGAAGCGGAGCTATCAACTGACCACCTGGTGGAGAGTTGGCACTGATTTGCCTTTGCAGGGTGTCTGAGCTCCTTGTATAGGTTGAGAAGCCTGGTTATCCTGGCGGGGCAGGGTTTCCCTTACATAGACGTAGCCATGGCGGGCCGCCACGGCTGAAATCCCACCGCCATGCCTACAAGATCCCAAGTTTTATTTATTTATTTATTTTTTTGCGCAGTTTCCCGAAGAAGCAGCGGGAACTACTATGTTGTCGCTTGTGATCACAGCCGGCAGGCAGCAAGGAGGAGCAGGCAGGGCAAGGTGCAGTTACAGCATAAGTTACTGAGTTTAAAATTAGAAAGGTAGCAGTGGATATAATGCTTTTTGGTTTACGTTTCAATAGCATTAAGATAAACGAGTGTTGACAATCTTGACAGGTTCTCCTCCAGTGCTTATTAGGCCAGGTTTTCCTCCCCCCACCAGGCTAAGCATCACTTATTCATGTAAAATGTATTTATTTTTTCATGTCTGACTTTAACCGCATCTAATACTGTAGTACGGTGTGAGCGCAACAGCGACAACTTAAGATCGATGTGTGAGCAGCCTGAGAGGTCGGGTGTTTCATCTGAACCCTTTAAACCTCCAGCAGGCTACGCTGTACTATTGACGCGTTAGCGCGCGGCGCTAACAACTTAGCGACGTGACATGTCTTGGAGAAAGCGTAAAAACACGTTGGACGCTTCTTCTGAAGCGGGAAAATAACGCTTCTTCTTAAGCAGAGCACGACGTCGCCTCGGCTCGTTCACCCTCTGCCGAGCCAGACTGAGCTCGATAACATTGACCCAGCACAGTCACTGGGTCGTTGGAGCTGCCCCGTGACTGTCTGATGGAAAACCAGCGGGATTTCATCAGACTCGTAAAGTTTCTTGTTTTTGCCGGGGACCCCCTGTATTTTATCGCTCCCTCCTGCAGTCTTCCCCTATTAACATTTAAAATGATTCTGTAAATTCCGTGTATCAATAGAAACAATCTCTGCCTCTGCCAGCTGCAGTAAATGTAGTCTCCAAATAATAAATAAGAGGTGCATTCATCTGTGTATCTACTTCGATCCGCATTAGTGATATTTTCAGCACCAGAACAGTGAGGCAAAGAAAGATTCCTGAGGTTGTTAGTTATTTTATTTATTAGGTGCATCTGACCTGTTCTATTTTTCTTTGAAATGAGATCAAATCGGTGCTTCTATGGGTAATCTCCTCTCTGCACTAGAAAATTTTACTTTATTTAGAGACGTGTCATAATTTCTCCCCAAGCCCCCCCCCCCCCCCCCCCCCCCCCCCCCCCCCCCGGCCCCACAGCAACAGCTGGAAAAATTCCTAGGGGAAACACTGCAGGGCTTACAGTAGATCCTGCTCCGAGCTTCTCCACATCGAGCCAGCTGAGATGGCTTGGGAATCTGTTTAGGATGCCTCCTGGACCCTGGTTTTCGAGAAACACAACCGTCGACCCAGGACACTTTGGCGGCTGGCCTGGGAACGCTCTGGGATTCCCCCAGAGGGCCTGATCCAAGTGGCTGAGGAGTCTGGGCCTTCCTGCTTAGGCTTCTGTCCTTTCCAAACAAATCCCAGATGAGGAAAATAGATAGATGGAATTTGGTTGCCTACCACTCCCAAAGGTGTAACGGTTCTCTTGTACTTCCTGATCCACATAACCTAAATTAATAAAGGTTCCACAGATGTCTTAAACCACTTTGTGATTATTATAAGAAGAAGTTGTCGTCGTCTTCCTCTTCCTCCGCTTATCCGGGTCCGGGTCGCGGGGGCAGCATCCCAACTGGGGAGCTCCAGACCGTCCTCTCCCCAGCCACCTCCACCAGCTCCTCCGGCAGGACCCCAAGGTGTTACCAGATCAGATTGGAGATGTAATCTCTCCAACATGTCCTGGGTCGACCCGGGGGCCTCCTGCCGGCAGGACATGCCCGAAATACCTCCCCAGGGAGACGTCCAGGAGGCATCCTGGCCAGATGCCCAAACCACCTCAACTGGCTCCTTTCGATCCCGTGGAGCAGCGGTTCTACTCCGAGTCCCTCCCGAATGTCCGAGCTGCTCACCCTATCTCTAAGGCTGAGTCCGGCCACCCTACGGAGGAGACTCATTTCTGCCGCTTGTATCCGCGATCTCGTTATACTGGTCAAGAAGAAGTTGTTCATGCTAAATATTCTGTGACTTATCTGAGAAAACCAAAAACCCTCACTAACATCTCGGTTAATGCAAATTTCTATTTGGTGCCAAAGACAAGGTCTAGATCCATGCACAGCTCTGTTGGGTTTCCTGATGAGAGAGATGTTGTTCACCAGGGATTGGAGCAAAAAGCCCTTGACAAGTGAATTCCTACTCCACAGAGAGAAACCAATTACACACTGACATGAGGTCTGATGCTGTGAGGAAAAATGTCTGATCATTACAACAAAAGGCCTAATTATAACAAAATGTCAGTTTGACCTTTGGAAATTAGTTACAGCTTGTCTTGTCTATCCTAAATGGACTCAGTCCGGCTAAAGTGTCACACAAATGTGCCTGTGCCCTTCAGTAGAGACACTTTTAATAACGCGGTACTCACAGCAGGATGTTTAGGCAGGAAACTGTTAACCTCACAGGAGAATAAATGTAGGCTACATTAGGGATCATGATATGGAGGTTTTAGTCCAAACCCTCTGCCCGGATGGGGATTTGCTGCTCGGTGACATGCCTCCCTCAGCCTGGCTCTTTATTAGCTCAGAGGAGGCAGGAATCCCGGGACGAGTGGTACGGACATCGCCGACCGCAACCGCTGAGTTTCCCTCTAAACACGGTCTTATGACTGTTTCAGGAACCTGAGAGGCTGGGACAGCAGAGCAGAGCAGAGCAGAGGGCTGAGACAGTGATCAGGAGCAGCGACTGACAGGTGGGAAGAGAACAGGGAACAGCTCGGCCAGAGAGACTGAATGGTCGGTGGAGGTCAACTCACCTGTCCGCAGGTAGGCACAGCAGCATTATCAATGCACTAATAATAATAATAATAATAATAATAATAATAATAATAATAATAATAATAATAATAATAATAATAATAAATAATAATAATAATAATAACAAGTCTTCTTATACTCAGGGCAAAGGCAACATTTAAAATCATGTCAACAATAAAGGAAGTTTTTTTTCTCCATGTTTGATAAAAGCTTCTTAGATTTGGGGAATTTTTGTAAGTTAACCAAGTTTACATTTTCCTTCTCACAGATTTCTTCTGCCCTTATGATTCAGATCAACAAACCCACTTGAAAATCACAAAAGATAACATGACTAAATGTAGAATTCAGTTTTCAAACCATGACTTGATTTCCTAAGTGTGGAAAAGGGATCATACGGAAATTCTTGTCGCTCATCTGAAATATTTACTTTGACAGATGATGCGTGTAGAAAATAAATCTGACCTTTTGCCAGCCCTCTGTAAGGATAACAGATTACCTCTAGAGAACCCAAAGCCTTTAGAAATAGAAAAGCGATGGGAATAAATACACCAACATGTCGAAGAAAATAAAATACATTTTTGATCAGTTTTGCAGAAGCTTGAAATGGGCCGTGACACCAGTGCCACCACGGGTCCTTAAGGGTTAAATGTTTAATATGAAACAAACCCATGAGTCATCAGAGACTGGTGGTCCCATGAAAATATATCACATATCATTATTATTATCTTTTTAATTAAAGGGATGTTATGGAAGTTTGACAGTCAAAACATGTATAGAAATAATAAATTTCTTCTTCATTCATTCTCCTGCAATGCCCTGGTCCTGTAGAATGAGCCCTGGCATTTTTACTGTGATTGCCTATTTTTCTGTAAAATCACAGAAAAAGAGAGCTGCTCGGGTCGAGCAGGCTGCTTCATGCGCGTTCACGCCATTGACATATAAATATTGGACAATGGGTTTCCATAGATTCCAATAACACATTTTTGAGGCTAAATGGGAGGTGGCCACCACCACCATTTTGACCGTGTCACACGTTCCATCAAGCCCAGACAGTTCCACAAAAGAGAAGAGAGGTGGAGCTGAGGGTGTGGCTGTAAGGCTGGGATCAACTGACGACACCCGGTCGAACTAGCTACAAGCTAACCTGAAGCTAACCCAAAGCTAACGCGGAGGTGGGAGCTAAGCTAATGGAGGTAGCAATCTAGCTACAACCGGAGTTAACTGTACACAACACCAGAGCTTCTGAGTCAGAGATACGCCGGGCTGACCGCTGGGTAAAACCGGGTGGAACACAGAGGTCTCCCGAAAGCTGCTGAAAGCCGGCAGCCCGCGCAGCAGACAGAAGCCGCTATCAGACAGAGATGTGCCGAGCTGCGGGGAGGGGAGAACGAGTGGAAAACATCGGTCTCCCGAGAGCTCCACAAGCCGATAGTCGGAACCCAGCTCCACCAACATGTTATATTTCAACCCATTTTCTAAAGTGCAGCATTATGTTAAATGCACTGGGTTTTACCCTATTACATTTAAATTTCATGGTTAAACAGTACATGTTAAAATCTAAGCTGAGCTCGGCAGTGACCTAAAATACATAAATATAATTTTACTTACTGAAAAAAATGAAGTGGAGACTCCTTGGACACTCTATTAGTGCAATTAATGCCACAGCAAGTCATTTTGTCCAACAATTGCACAAAAAATATCCAAAAAAGAATACACAAACACAGAGACTCAAAATCCCAGAGCAGTTTCCAAGCCAGACAGAGGCTCTACTGAGGCCTTTCCACTAGCTCTGTGGTCACGTGGGTCTGATGCTCATTAATTATACAGAATTTTAGGCTTTAAATACACTTAAACAGAAGAGTGAGAAAAAAATTCACCCCCCTCAGAGTTGTCATGAGTGTAACCTAGATCTATTAAACAAAAAACATGTTTTGGTACCAGGCTGTAAACATGTTTATTTCTGCTGTGAAATTGGTATTTTTAACATGGGAGTCAATGAGGATTTGCTCGCTTCTGACACCAGCCCCCAGTGGATGAGGGTGGAACTGCAATTTTTGGTACTTCCGGGTTGCATAGCCCGTAGCATTTGCTATCCGTAGATTTAGCAGCAGAGAGTGAGGTAGTGCCAACTCAGCGACTTTGTTGCTGTTCCTAACGCCTAGTGATGAACCTAGCTACATTTCTGAGGACCCTTAGCTACTTTCTTCTAGATATTTCCTGCAAATTAGCAAAAAAATAGCCATTTTCGCTCCGAACCCTTCTTTGAATGTTGTTTCAGGTGTCATCAAGGATATAAAAGTTACAGATACTATGATTGTTACTAGAGTGTAGCTCTCCTTGTTTGATGATTGACTCCCATGCAGAAAACTCGGGTTCGATTCTGGATGTGAATATAGTTAATTTAGAGTTTCTTTTTGACATTAATGGTATATTTTTTTACAGTAAGATGCCCAAATTTTTATTTGAGACTCGCTGAACGGCATTGAATTCACAGATAAAAAAGATGTGGGTTCAACTTTCATTTTGGAACTATTTTTCAAGCAAGGGAAGGGAATGGTCTGAGCATGCAGGAGGACTGACCCATCATAAACCTTTGTCGGCTGTGCTGAAGAGAAAGGTACAGAACCAAATTATTTAATTAATTAGCTGCGCATTCTCCTGTCCTCTGTCCTCCGGGCCACACACACACACACACACACACACACACACACACACACACACACACACACACACACACACACACACACACACAGAACTGTCTCAGCTGTTATTTTCGTTAAGGAGTGTGCACGTACAGCAGGCGCGCCTCGTGCACGAGCCTACTATTGAAGCTGCCGTTACGCTTTTGGCCTGAGAAGGCAATCGCGAGCATAAAAATTCAAAAGTCCGAAAAGTCCCTTTAATGTAATTAAAATAAAAAAACGGGCCCCCTGCAGTCATGGGCCTTAACCCCCCCACTCCACTACAGCTCTGCTGCCCGTGATGCTCAGTGATCTGTCAATAGCTGACCTCTCTGACCCCAGCTTCTCATGTACTGGTTTTATTTTATAGGATTGAGTTTTTGGACACATCCTCTCCTTCCACACTAAGGACATGTGTCTCCTGCCAGTGGTGTCATTCCTCGTGTGCTTGTGGTTGGGGGAGAAAATCCACTGCAGCAGTAGCTTCCAGGACAGCATGAGAGAACTCCACAGCAGGTTCGCCGTCAGCCTGTACCAGACGCTCACTGAGACGGAGAACAAATCCAACCTGGTCCTGTCCCCAGTGAGCATTTCCTTGTCCCTGGCACTGCTGCAACTGGGTGCCAGGGGCAGCACTCGGGCTCAGCTGGAAGGAATGTTGGGATACAGCGTGAACGGTATTCCTCTTATTTCCTTTAAATGTCGGAGTAAATGAGTGGGTAAGGGGGAGAGCTTGACCTGAGTTTGCTGGAGAGGTGTTCAGTGGTGCTCAGTGCTGTTGGTACCAGGTGGTGTGGAGCGGTGCTGCTGCTGCCGCTGGTCCTGCAGAGCCCAGTGGTGTCTGGAGCCGTAATACCTGCCTCCACACCGGCTCTAATCTCATTAACCTCTCCTGGAGCTACGGCTCAAGCCAAGGGCCAGGAGGCCAGTGTGAATAATGACTAACTAAATGAGAGCTGAAGCTACTGTTAATTTCCCCTCAGTGGTACAGGCGATGGCAAGCCATTTGGGTACTTAAAGTCCTGATTTTAAAGCTGTATTCTTTTATGCCTACAATGCACTAGTTGAAAAGTTATTTGCACTAGTTTGGCAATAAACTATTCTACTCAACCTAACTAGTTAACAAATGCAGCTGCTGACAGGTGAGCATTTCAGATTTACCAGTTGACTAGAACACAGATTAGGATTTCTGTTTGATTAGGCTGTTTTGAGCATTTTATTCATCAATTTTTGAAATCCTACTCTGTAACCTGCATGACCCAATCATCTACAAGCTTTAGCTTAGTACAGTTTCAGCTCCAGCTAGTTAAACAAATGTGCCACTAGTTGGCAAAAAAGGTCAAATTAGTTTGTTGAAAGTCATCAACTGCATCAATATTTCAAACTAAATGTCCAGCTAGTGCAATGTAGCCATTAGGTTAATAAAAGGATGCTAAATATTATTGATACTAAATAAATAAATGGTGATGATGATCTCATGCCAGACAGGATGTGATGTGCTGCACAGCAAGGCTCAATTTTTAATCCAACAAGCCTTATTTTGTGCAGCATCCTCCAGGGATAAGGTGTAAATCGTATTAAATGTCTCATCTTAAACCTACAATAATCAATGTAACTAATATTACTGTAATTCTTAAGTGTTCCACGTCGTTTTTATTAAAACTTGTTAACATAAATTGGATTTCTGAACATGGCTGGGGATCTGTTTTCCTGCAGATGCTCAAGTCCAAGACTTCCTGTTGCACTCACAGGGCGACCTGACCAACACCAGTCAGGGAATGTGGCTGCAGCAGAGCTGCACGTTGTTCATTCAGAGTGGAGTCCAGCTCCTGGACCAGTTCACGCAGCGCACTGCAGCCTGGGCCAACACCAACGTAGTGCAGACCAACTTCAGCCAAGTCAGTCACACTCGCAGCCCAGCAGAGCAACCGGAGCGTCACCACGGTAATCTAAACTGCTTCATTAACACGTTGTGTTCTGTTTATTCCTACTGAATAATCATATTTATAGTGAAAAAAATATTGCCCTTGTTTTGGTTTTATATTAAAAAATACACACACACAGAGTTTAGAAAGCATGGAGAAAAATTGATAAAGACCGCTTAAAAACTTTGTAGGAAAGTCAGAAGTCAAATGTAAAGAAATTACAATGACTTGAGATGGGCCTGGACATGTGAGGACTGGCGCAGGAAATCTTCTGTGCAGTGCATGATTTTAAACCAGGACGCCATAAGTTTGAAATTTCTAATCAAACATGTCAGATGTAATACTAGCAAAGAGAAATATATCCAACTGCATCTTATAAACACACTCAGACATTGATACATGCACTGATTTAAAAAAAAGAATTTTGTTTGAAACTGAAAAGTGTTATTGTTTTTGCATTTCACAATGAATGTATGAACTACCAAAAAATAAATGAATAAAAACAACATACAAAATCAACCAGTAACACAATAGAAGTGCAGTTCATTTTTACTTTTTGATCTTTGTCTAAATAAACTTTTAATTTAATTACTTATAATCTGTCATTTGATTTGATTGATGGCTACGCACATGGATTATTTAGGTCAACTGGAAGGAAATAGAGATCTCAATCCTTAAACGTTTGGCCTGTGATATTAAGGATTTTTCGCCCTCTAGCGGACAGTAGCTGTCACTACAAGCAGTGTTCATAAAGCTGAACAAGACATAACACACCAACACTTTCTATAGTTTCCTTCAAAATAAAACCCATAATTTAAAATTACTACGGATTTCGAATAGGCGTTAACGGCATAGTAAGTCTAAAAAACCAGAACGTGTTCACTTATACAGACTACTTAACTACCAAAAATCAACAAATCTGTTTTAATTATCTGTTTTCAACAAGATTAAATCAACAAGCTATAGCAGCAGCTAGCAGTACAAACATTTCAGATCATACGCCCTCTGGCGGACGAGAGCGAAACTAAATCCACGGTAAATTTAGAGGGATTTTACTCTTAATAAATCAAATTAGGTAATTCACAGATACTTAATTTGATATACATATATTTAGTTACACAGTTTTACCAATGTATGTTTGTAGTTTCTAATCAAACGTGTCAAATATGAAAAACTATTAGTTCTTAGTTCAAAGACCAATAAATACCCAACTCCATCTAATAAACATACAGACATTGACACAGACGTTGCACTTTTTAAGGTCTATATTTTGTTTTGAACAGGAAAAGCATTAGGTTTTCACAATGAATGTATAAACATACATACATTTTATTTTATTGGAGAAAGACTACTGAAAAACTGAGTAAATTTTGATCACAACAGCTGATTTAATTTGATACTTGTTTAATCAGATGAATGAACATTTTATATTATATACAATATAGTATAATTATCTGGTTTAAAGGGCAAAATGGAAGATAAATAAAATGTAAAAACTACATTTTAGAATAACAAATTAAAGTAGAAGAAACATATTTCCAAATCACTCTTATTCACAATAATGTATTAGTAACTTACCCATAGATGATGTATTAATGTTAGAGCAGTCCAATACAAACACAGAAGTAATATTAGCTAAATGTATGCTTCTGTAAGAATTGGCCACCTGTACACAACCCATACACATTAATATAAAAAAAGAAAATCTCACTCCAAGACTTTTACAAATGTTGGCAGCCCTGCATGAGTAGTTTTACTTCTCTGTATTTCTTATATTGCACGCTGACCTTTAACCTTGCGTTGAATGAGCATGTAGCCTTCTGTGTTTGCTACTTGTTTTTAGACGAGTCATGGCCCCTCCACTCAGGAAGCAGTAGTGGAGAGCTGTCGGGCTCAGGCGAGGCCCAAGCAGAAGCTGTCTGGTGGGGACACCGACTGCAGGTGGCGCTGGTCAACACAGTGGTGTTCAGAGGTGTCTGGCAGAAGCAGTTCATGTTCTCCAACACCCAGAACCTGCCCTTTGCCCTTTCTGATGGCAGCACCATCAAGGTGCCCATGATGTATCAGGCAGCAGAGGTCAGCTTTGGTAAGAGTCCATCCATCCATCCATCCATCTAGTCATTTCTAACATTAGTTAAAATGTTAGAAGACATCAAGATGTTAAGAAAATGAGGGGAAAAATGAGTTGGAGTCTGAATGAGTGTCAAACTTGCCAGCAGGTCAGTTTAGAACAGCGTCTGAGCAGCGCTACACGGTGCTGGAGCTGCCGTACCTGGGCCGAGTCCTGAGCCTACAGGTGGTCCTGCCCAGTGAGAGGAAGACCGCACTCTCCTCTCTGGAGTCCCAGCTCTCTGCTCGGCAGCTGGCAGCCTGGAACACAGGCCTGCGCAGAACTAAGATGGACGTTTTCCTGCCCAGGTGAAGTTTGCATACCTGCTCTATGTATTTGTGATTGAGAATAAAATCAGGAACCGAGCACGAACCCCGTCATCTCTGGTGTCTGCAGATTCAGAATGCAGAACAAGGTCGACCTGAGGTCAGTGCTTCCTGAGATGGGCATCAGCGACGCCTTTAACCCAGCGACGGCTGATTTCACTGGAATCTCAGGTGAGTTCATCAATAAAGCAGAGACCTGATCAGTTACTGCTGCAGCTCCTATGAGAGCTGACAGGTGTCACTTCCTGCAGTGGAGGAGGGTCTTTACGTGTCCGATGCCTTTCATGACGTGAGAGTAGAGGTCACAGAGGAAGGGACGAAGGCAGATGCTGCAACGGGTGAGCGTTACGTCACGGATCCAAAATACAGAAAAGAATATCCATCATCTCTGCCTGCTTATCCACACATGGTCACGGGGCAGAAAGGAGCATTCTAAACATTTATGTTGTTATTGCAGCTATGGTGCTGCACAAACGGTCCCGTGCTCCTGTTTTTAAGGCGGACCGCCCTTTCCTTTTTCTACTCCGACAGGTTAACTCAGGTATCAATTTTGAGTTTCTCATCATGGCAAAAATCACATTTAATAATAGCAAATTGATTGTTTTCTTTATTTCTAACTTTCCAGAGATTTTGTACAACAGGCATGCAACTCCAGGCTTTAAATGAATGTTTAATTACTTTAAAGGTTGAATGATTTGTTATTAAGAGAGGAGTTGTATGCAGATTAAAGGAACTTGTGGTGCCCCCTAGTGTATGGAAGATGAAAAAACACCCACCAGTGTAAAGAATTAGCTGAATGTTTAGTCCCACAAAAAAAAAAAAAAAAAAATTAAATCTAACGCGATGTTTGGTTTCTAACTTCAGGATCCATCTTATTCATGGGCCGAGTGATGCACCCTGCTGACTGAGGAGTAATACACACTCCAACACTCACACCCCCACTGGCTTACTTCTACAGTTTTTGTCTACCGGTATTTATTTGTGGACCAAATGGAGGATTTCAGGAAGAGGGACAATATTTTTGTACACATCTGTAAATAAAATTTTAATGTTTTTAACTCTTCTGGAGGTCTTATTTGCCAGTCTGTTAGCAAAGGAACACGTTAGAATGTAAAATGCAACCAGGTCACAAACAAATGCAAAAATAAAACCCTCAGATATTCAGATTTAGTGTTCGGTCACTCCTAAACGCAGACGGGTTGTGTGAAGTTGCACATAATTATAATAAAAGCTTTAATTTCTCCATAATGTGATCTTGTGGTTGTGCAGCGCACCAGGCTTAAGGTGACAGATCATTTGCTGCTGTGGCCACCAGACTCTGGAACTCTCTCCCCCTGAGATCAGTGGACTCCTTTAAAAAGCAGCTGAAGACTCACTTGTTCAAGCTGGCTTTTGTATGACCTTCTTCACCACTCTCCCTTTATTCTGCTCTCCCCACCTATTCCACCTTCCTCAGGATCCACTGATTTCCCTCTTTCCTATTCACTCTCTCTCTTTCTTAATATTTTTTTTAATCACAATTGCCTATTTTTGCTCATTTTAATATATTTTTAAACATTTTCTAAATATTTTATATTTTTACATTTTTTGTTTTTGTTAAGCGCCTCATAATTTTTATCTTGAGAGGTGCTGTAGAAATGATATTTTCTTCTTACTTTGAAACTCCAGCATGCAAACGGGGCAGGACACCAAATGTTTATTTTTTTTTTAAACGTGCTCAAACATAAAAAAAACACAGAGTCACATCTTTATGGAACACTTTATTTACACGGCCCTTCACAGTGTAAAATAGAAACTTTATTCATGGAAATACTTACAAAAAGGCCATTTTACACTTAACATTGCTTTAAATAGTACTCTAGAGTTATTTACATCTTTACAGTGTATTCAAAATACTCTTTTGGTAGCGGCCTTTCACAAACAAAGACAAGTATGGCAGAGTTTGGTCCCTGTCCGAAGAGGGAGGGCGGGAGGGAGAACGGGGCGAGAGCAGCCAACTCCTGACCTCTAGAGGAGATTGTGTACGTTTGAGAACGCTGAACAAGCTCTACCCGAATATTTAAAAACGGCAACAAAAAAAGGTAGATTTCCATTTTAAATTACATTAAATAAGAATTCTCAAATTTACACAAGTGCATCGATGGAAAAGTGACAAGAAGTTGGTTGGAGATTGGTGGCTGAGGGAGGGGGGCGATCTGGGTGTGTGTGTGTGTGTGTGTGGGTGTGTGGGTAAACTGGCAGCAACCACGTCCTCATCTCATCAGTCCAGCAGAAGACCGCCTGTGTTGCATCTCAGCCGCTTCAGGCTGAATAAAGTGAAGGGGCGGGGCTTTGATGTTATTGCTGATGCATTAATATCAGTTCCTGAGCTTTTTCAACACTTAGCACTAACAACATCGCGTTGTTCACGGTGTTACATCGCTACGTTGGACAACAGGGTTCAGATTAACGTCCGCTTCTGATTCATTCATGACAACCGTGAATTAAAGGCTGAATCCAAGCATTTAAGAGCCAAGTGGTGGAGTGCTCCAGCTGGCGGAGTGCAAAAGTCCATTTTAACCATCATCATCCTAAAACTTAAGACTCAACGTGAGCGGAGGGAAAGGGTTATGGAGAGGAAAATGATCAACGGATCCTTTTCGACCCCGAGTTATCAGAAAACAAGCACACACCTCTCAGACTGAACTCTTATTCTCCCGAACACGTGGTCACAAAAACTAAAGTTTTCAGGCTGCAGCTGCCCTCTGGTCCTCTCCACGAGAGTTTCGTCCTCTCTCCGTTTAGGAGATACTCGTTTAAGTAAAAGAAAACTGTGACCACGTGAGTTAGCGAGGAGAGGCTCAGGCAGCAGCTGCAGTCAAACGTCCAACAGAACATCTGGTTGCATAGGCTTCACCCGCAGCAGTCACCACTTCCTGTTCATTCTCGCAGCCATCTGAACCATCCTCCAGGGTCAGATCTGCCTTTGGTGATGGGTCAGCCTGGACCAACGCGGCCACCTTAAATGTTGGCGGGCTGGCTGAAGTGGCCGTGGCTCCTGGGCTGGATTCTGTCTCCTCAAGGGAACTTCGTGTTTGGGCTTTACGGGGGACGGGGGCGGGTTTGGGCTCAGCCGGTCTCAGAGCGAGTCCACGTGGTTCATGTTATTAGATCTGTTGTGGATTTCCTCAAGGAAGTTCTCCAGCTGCTCAATCAGAACGCGTTTCTTGAACCTTTGAAGAGAGGAAAAACAAAAGTCCTCCTTCAGTCACGGGTGAATAAACTTTCATATATTCTGACTTTTCCACGACGCGTTGTTCAATCTGTTCCATGTTTGCAGCTAGATATCGTTTTATTTTTTGACGAGGCGATGGCCATAGACATTAAATACGTCATCCTCTGCGAGCTTGCCAGAGAGCCCGCGTGTTTCGTATCTCCATAACAACGCAGACAGAGAAGTATAATCTAGGCTTTAGCGTCTGACGCGCTCCAGCTCCGTAGGAGGGAGGGACAAACATGTAGGAGGAGTCCTTAAAGATGGAAAATGTGTGACGGTTTGCAGATTCACGAACCTCCATGACTGGAGTCATTAAACGCTGCTTCGACTAGCGGTTAGCTCTTCAGTCCTGCTCTGTGACTCCAATTATGAAAATCATTTATTTATTTTACATAAACTAAAGCATCATTTATCAGTGTCTATGACCACATTCTTGTTTTTACCTGACGACGGTGCATCGCTGATAGTTTTAGGCAGAATATTTAAATTTTAACTGCGATGCACTAAAGAGCAAAACCATTGACTACACGTGTGTGCAGCACAATCACACTCATTTATATAGTTTATCAGCAAAAAAAATGTTGATTTGGAGTAACTTGCTCTTTAAAGAGCAAGTTACTCCAAATCAACATTTTTTTCCAATAAACTATATAAATGCATGTCTAATCGTGCTGCACACACGTGTAGTCAATGGTTTTGCACTTTAGTGCATCGCAGTTAAAATTTAAATATTCTGCCTAAAACTATCAGCGATGCACCGTCGTCAGGTAAAAATTCTGCACTGCATTTGAATTTAAATCTGCCGTCGCTATTGGCTAAGAGGTGCACTATGATGTTAGATGGTACATCATGATGTCACAATGTCGTGTGTGTGTGTGTGTGTATTTGTTAGCGGCTCCACCCTCTCGGTCTGCTAGGCAACAGCATTTGTTGCATTTTTCAAACAGGAAGTGGGAGTGGAGTTAGACTCTGGTAGGGGTTGACTTGCTTTTTAAATAAAATATGCAGAGAAACAGAGCTGAAGCGGACTTCCGGCATTGCCATGGAAACACGTAAACACTGAATGCTAACTAAATAGCGCCAGCTACACGGTTATAATCAGGCAACTGGCGGTCTCTATTTTAGTTCTGATAACTTTGTGGTCCTCGTAGGCATGAATAAATATCTCTCAGTCTGGGAGAAGAACGAGGCTCAGCCTTTCCCTTTATCATTTATCTAGCATCGATTAACGGGGGCTGCCTCCGGAAGTGCGTGAGCCTCGCTTGCCGCGCCTCGCTTGAATTAGAGAGGACTGAATCCACCCGAGCATCGTTCGTGGAGCCGACAAAGTAAACAGGTGCGCCATGTCAAGCAGAGATTTATCAGGAAAGCCTCGATGTTCTGAACTCACCTTCTGTAACACCCCCCCCCCCAATCTTTTTGCTCGTAGCTCATAAAATCACAGCAAATAAGAATTCCGAGTACCTGGCCGCCTCTTTGATGATGTTTTGGAGGAAGATGAGCCGCGTGTCCAGAGTTCCCTGGATTTGCTTCAGGAGAAGAAATATCTTCTCGTAGTCTGAAACAAACCAAGCAGAAGGAACAAACATCAGCTTGTACAGGTCAGAGTTTCAGGATTATTTAATCTCCCAGGAAGTGACTCAAACATCAGATTAACAGAAGTCTCTGGTCTACACACGTCTGCCAGGTTTCCTGATCTCCTTGGTGATGAGTGTCCTCAGCTCGTTGTTGACTTTTGTCGTCTCGGTGTGAATGTGCTTCTTCAGGGCGGATGGTGAGAGGAAGCGGGGGGGCGGGTCCTCTATCAGAGCCCTTTCCACCCCTCCCTCGAGGCTGGGCAGCAGCTCGCCAGCACGCTGCTGCCCGCTCTCCTCCTCCTCCTCATCGTCGTCCATGTGCCGAAGGACCTGAGCCTCATCAGAAGTGTGGTTCTCCTGAAGGTCTGCTGGTCCTGTGTGGAGGTCCATCTCCAAGTCAGAGCTGCTGTCTGACCCATAGTGGTTCTGGTTTAGGTGGTTAATGATCAGGTCAGGAGAACCGTCATTTATGTCCGTTTCTATAAAGCAAGGGATTGGAGAGATGGTTTAATTTCTGTGGTCTACTTCTGGAAGTCGTCAGGGTAGATTCTGGTCCTACCTGATGAGTGCCGGGGACTGGCAGAGGGCGATACCGGAGGGGTGTAGGCCCGGCCCAGACGCAGCAGAGGGGACATGCAGCGACGTCTCTTTGGACCCCCACCCGGCATGTTGATGTTGTTGTCTCCAGGTCGCTTGCCTTTGTTCTGAGGACCGGTCACAAACTCGTCCGCCTCATCGATCATCATTCCCTGTGTGAAAAATCGGGTCAGCATCACCTTTCTGGATCCAAACATCCACTTTATTCCAGGCGAATAGGCAGGACGTACCTTCTTGTCCAGTTTAAAGGGGTTTCCGAACGTGTGCAAACGTTTGGGCTGCTCAGGATCTGCATCTCGAAGTGGCTGGGGGGCAGCTTTGAGGAAGTCTTGGTAGTTTCCCATCTGGGCGATTGGCACACTGTGGAGCTGGTCTGGACACGTGGCATCAACGATCGCTAGTGACTTTTTGTTTTTCAGAAAATAGCAAAAATAAGTGAGGTGCAGAGAGCCTTCTTACCAGAGTCCTGTCCTCTTAGAGTGCAGACGCTGGTGTTGAGCAGGTTTCTCCTCATTCGGCTAAGCTGGTCGAGGAGGTGGCTCCGAGGGATGTCGTAGGGATTCCTGAAGCTCTGCGGCTTCAAGCCCTGAGAGCAGAAGGTAAAACAGAGGATGTGAGAAGAAACTTCCACACAAGCTCACAAAAACATGCAAACATCTGAGATCCACCCTCCTCTCTGCAGATTTCAGGGACCCAACCCAGAGAACTTAAAGACCACCTTACAAACATCGGTGTGTTTATGCTTGACGCATTTACTTTCCGCTTGGTGATGCGGCTCGCGGATGGAACGCGCTTCACAACTTGCAGCGTTTATGGTTCATGCGGCTCGTCTCTGCGGTGAGCCAATATTCTCCCAAACTGTAGGGGGCAGCATAGAGCTCTATGGCATGCATCCAACACTACACCGTAGTAGAAGTAAAAATTATTGTTGTTTAGAACACGGCATTCCAGCATTTTTAACAGCGTCCTCGTCTTTTCCGACAGTGCGAGCTATTTCTCTCCAAGAATTATTAACAACATGTTGATCACGGTGATCTCTGAGAGCTGAATCATACAAATGTCTGTATTTAGGAACCTCTGCCATTCTAGTTCTTGCCAGTACACCATGTTTTTCCACGTCCAACCGTCCGCGTGGTTAGAAAATTTCCTAGGTGCGCGGTGCGGAAAGTTTGGGCCGTGCGGAGGTGCGGTGGAGGGGCGCGGTTGTTAAAATGACGCAACTTTTCCGCGCGGAGCCGTGTGAACCTCGCAGACGCGTCAAGCATAAACCAAGCTTAAAAACTTATACCGAACCTGAAAAGGCTGAAATAACATCGCTACAATTGCTCTGAGAAGGATGAAAGTGCACAAATATTCTAAAAACAAACAACGCCGTACCACTAAACCTGCACCGGCTCACACACCCTCCAGCTACAGTAGCTAATGCTGTTTTCTTTTTTTTTTTTATAAAACTCTCAATGACTGTAAAACCAGCTACATCTGTTCAAGATGGCTGCGACTGGCTTAACTAAACACAAAAACGACTACAGCTGATCTACGATTTAGCTGCTGGTCAGAGCCGTGACCAGGACTTTTAAAATGGGGTGGCCCATGTGGGGCACTTGTTTATGCATGGGTGGCACCAATGGTTATGCTTATTTATTTATTTACACAAATCATTTCAATTGAAATTCAATTCAAAAATACTTTATTAATCCCAGAGGGAAATTGATTGCTGTAGTAGCTCAGAATAATAATAATAATCAAGTCATTTAAGTTTATTTATTTATTTACTTTCTAGTGAATTTTGGAGTTTCACATTGCACAATCACCATTTTTTTCTATTCATCTTCTAGTTTTGTGGTGGTTAGCAAGTCACTTCCTGTTGCATTATTGCCACCAGGTGGAGTTGAGTGGGACTCTAAATACTATTTATGTGAATATGAAAAAATAATAAATAATATTAATACTACAGAAATGTTCTGTATGCCTGGGCTAGAAGACAATGTTAAAGGTGCACGCTAACACACACTATTTTTGGAGTTTACAACTCAAGCCTTTTGTCGACAATGTAAAGTCAATTTAAACTGGAACTTAGTGTGGTGGCACCTGGGGTGGCCAATCAGATTCTAAGGGTGGCATGTGCTACCCCAGGCCACTCCCTGGACACGCCCCTGCTGATGGTACCCGACACCCACCCACAAGCAGCCTTCAGCGCTACACCAGATCGATGAGCCAATCAGACGAACTCCTACCTTGTTGAGCAGCGCCAGGTGGAATCCCTGGAACTCTTTGGGGTTGAGCTCTACGGGCAGAGCTGGCGCCTCTCCTGAAAGACTCTGCAGCTGCTGGATGAAGTCCCTGCGCTGAGCTAAAGAGACGCCCCCACCTCGCCAGCGGACCTTGATGCCTGGCTCTGGGGGGGGTTTCTTACCAATGGAGACAATCAGACGGTCGTACTCGATTTTTGTCTGGAAATGTGAGGAAACGAGGTGTTAAAAGGCTAAAACCAACCACGACAACATTTTAATAACAGTTATTTAAACAGGGAAACAAACCTGCTGACTGAGCTTCTTCAGATAGGAAACAACGCTGTAGCTCAGCCCGTACTCCATGTTATCAGCCAGCAGGTTCGGAGCTCCCATGATCCTCAGAGCCTTCCTGAGCGACTGTGGAGGAAATGTGATGTTTTATAAACACTCCTTCAAATAAAGGAAGAGCAGATTAGCACGGCTGAGTCCACGGACCCCAATATAATAAGGAGGCATGGTCTTCAGGTAGTTCTCAAAGGACTGGCGCCACTTCAGGGTCGGCTTGAACTTGTGCACTTTTATCAAGTCATCTGCAAAACAAAAAAATGCAATCAGAGAATCACAAGACGGTAAATTATGACGTTAAAATCTAGAATAGTGAACTGTTTCTGTGAGAGAGCGACAGCGTGGCAGAAGGTGAGTGGAGCGGTACCCAGAAGAGGCAGAAGAACGGGGTAGTTGTAGGGCATCACGAACAAGTTGACACAGTTGAGAGCTGTGCTGGCCTTCAGGTACCCGAAAGGTTGACCCAGGTCGCTGTACTTGGCACTGTTACTCACAAACACCTAAAGGACGCACAAAAGGTTTCTTCAGGCAGAAAAAACAAAATAAATCACCCTTTTTCATCAAGTGATCAAAATAAATGTTTAATCTGGCGTGACGATGAGCTGTTTCACCAAAACAACGGCTATAAATAGCTCAGACACATCATCACGATAAGAAATGGCCCCCTAGACTTCAGCGTGCCGCTGAAAGGCATCGCCAACAAGTCACGGTGATCCAGATGCAGCCAACACAAATCTCTTAGACCAATAAAAATAAGCCGTGGTTCAAGTCTGATTCTTGTCATCTGCATCGTCGCCATGGGAACAGTGCAGCTAAATAAAAGTGACTGTAAATGTGTCACCTCAGCTAACAGACGCATAAAATACAAGAAAACAGGAGCAGAAATGTTCTGCAGAACAAAGCGCCAAAGCAGGGTTAGACTTGTCCCGACTTCAGGTTCAGGTGAAATCCAGACTGAGCCCTGATGGGAGGCGTACCTGCCAGCAGGTGTGAGGGGACTTCCTCTCCAGAATGTACTGCGTCAGCGGCGAAGGCTCCAGTTCGTATTTATCGAAGGGAACCTTGTCTATCACCATGGGCTCAGCGTCCACGCAGGAGAACCGTACCTGTGGGTGGGCTGAGCGGGGGGGCTGAGTGGGTGAAGTCAGAGAGGAGGTTAGATTATAGAAACGTACACAAACAAGCTGCGTCTGTGTGTGTTTTACTAGTGTTGGAGAGTTCTGGTCAGGCCAGAAGGCCTCTGGGATGGGCCAGTGGCCGATGGGAACGCCCGTCTTCAGATTGGGTCGGACGTAGATCAGCTTGTGACAGCAATGCCAGGGCTGGGGGCCGGACTTCAGCGCCTCGGCTGGAGCGTCTGCTCAGGAGCATAAAGAGGACGTTTAGATACAAGCGCACGTGTTCACCAGCTGGGTTCAACCAAAGAGAAGTGAAGTTCAGACGGGATGAAAGCCTGAAGTGGGAGAAGAGCTCCTCGTTAAGCCGGGCGGACACTGTGCGACTTTTTCACTCGTAGCACTCAGCTTCAGCTCAAACTGTACGACTTCCTCGCAGGGCAGATCTCACGAGTCATGTGCTCACACTGCACGTCCCAGTTCTCGGATGCGACCTGACTGCTCACACTGTACGTCTGGTAGCAACACGTCGGCCCTAAAAATGTGCTAAAAATAGCCGTTTTTACGTCAGACTTTTTTGTCTTGTTTTGCCTGTTGTCCTTCGGGAGTGCTGCAGGAGGACACACAGGGATTTATGGGGGTTGGATGAGGAAAACGAAATAAAGAAAGTAAATCTGTGTTTTGTGATCATTTTAATTTGACATGAACACGACAAACACGCTTTCTTGACAATCTTTGTGAGTAAAAAAAACGTGTAGAAATAAAAACGAACAAAGTGTGTTATTAGGGAAATAGCGGGTGAGCGGTGTTGATGCATGATTGCGCCGTGAGCGGTTCTGATACTTTTTGGGTCGCAGCTGCTCGCAGCGCCGCTTCAGCAGTGCGATACCCTCACGAGGGACGAGCAAAACACACCAGAAGTCCGTGCGAGCTCACGATTGCTGATCGGTAGCTGGTCACGTGGTGTTAATCTCCTCTCGTAACCCCCTGTACACTACACGACCGCTCGGCGCAAAACTCGCCCCGATCTTGTGGATTCTCGCACGAGTGGAAAATCTGCTCAAAAAAGTGAAAAAGTCGCACAGTGTACGCCCGGCTTTAGACAGAGGCAGCGTGGGAGCAGACTCACTTACCTTCGAGTGGAGGCGGGTCAGGCCCCGTCTTCTCAAAGTTTATCACCACTCCACTCTGGATCTTCTGCACCAGAGACTCCAAACACTGATTTAACATGCGCTGGGAGAAAACGCTGTAGGAACGTCCTGCAAAACACACACACACACGTAAATGTTAGAACTGCATGAAGCATGTCAGCAGAAAGCATGTCCTAACACATTAGCCACAGCATCCGTCATGCTAGAGATACAGACTGTCTGATTAATCCAAGTTCCAGCTACATGGAGCCTCCCACTTGACCTTCAGTGACCCCGCTGTGAACCCATTCACATCTCCTTTCAATGGGCCGTGGCTTTGTGTCAGATCTGCCATCAGCAGGAATGTAACTGAGGACCAGCGCTGACAATGGAGCTATGTCATGTTCTGTATTCAGCTGCCTGACTGTGTGAGAGCTCGTGTTCATCTTAAACCGCCTTCAGCATCGTTCTGGTGGGTTCTTCCTGTCAGCTGCTAGCAGCACTGGGGAACAACAGGAAGACGAGTCTGCTCTGTGTGTGTGTGTGTGTGTGCATGTGTGCGTGCGTGCGTGTGTGCGTGCGTGCGCGTGCGTGTGTGTGTGTGTGTGTGGTCCTTTAAGATCAACTCCAGCAGAACCAGGACCAGCATGGCTGACTTTCCACTTCAACCAACTAGGGCGTTATTATCAACATTCTAGAACGAGGCAAAGCTCAGCCCGTAGCAGCCACATTTGTTACCTACAAGCTTGGGTCATACCAAAGACTGGGGCCCAATGCCTCCCTGCTTGGCACTCAGCTTTAGGGGTTGGATTGGGGCGCTCAACCACCAAATAGTTCCCGAGCGCAGCCTCAGCTGCAGCTCACCGCTCCGCATGGGGATGGGTCAGATGAACCAGTGTGTCTTGGCATCCCTACACTGGCTTCCAGTCTCTTTTAGAATTTCGTTTAAAGTTCTGGTGTTTGTTTTTAAATGCTTAAATGAGTTGGCTCCACGTTATCTGGCGAATCTGATCCATCCTTATGTTCCCGCAAGGAACCTTCGGTCAGCACAACAAGGACTGTTGGTCGTTCCTAAACAGACTACAATCTCGAGGGGGTCGTGCTTTCTCGGTGCTGGGGCCGAGGCTCTGGAATGAGCTACCGACATGGGTTAAACAGGCCACCACGCTCGGCAAGTTTAAGAGCCAGCTGAAAACACACTTTTATTCCTTAGCTTTAATTCAAGAAGAGTCCCGTTAACGGATGGCTTTGCACTTTTTGCTGCCCCACCTAGATTTTATCTGCATGTTTTTGTTGGTTTTTAAATGTTTTTTTTTTATATGTTTATTTCTGCTGTGCAGCGCTTTGTTTGGTCCTTGGGCCATGTGAAGGCGCTATATAAATAAAGTTTTAGTTAGTTAGTGATGACTAATGGGACTTTAACCTAGCATCTGTAATACTGTGTTGGCGTTAGCTAACGTCAACAGCCATCCAATTAGAGCAGCACGATGTTGTTTCAGCATCAACATCACAATGTCCGTATGCACGATATCCGCATCTCTGGAGGTAGGTGAGCTCAACGATGTTGACCAAAAGTTCACATCAGGGTTGGTTTGAAGCTAAAATGAGGACGCTAATGGAGGTTACGATGTTAAGAGACGCATCAAAAGGACACTTAAAAGGTTTTAGCGGTTTGTTATGATGGCTTGTGGGGCGACGGTGGCACAGGAGTTAAGTGCTCGCCTCGTAATCGGAAGGTTGCAGGTTCGAGCCCCGCTCAGTCTGCCGCTGTGTCCTTGGGCAAGACACTTAACCCACGTTGCCTGCTGGTGGTGGTCGGAGGGACCGATGGCGCCAGTGCTCGGCAGCCTCGCCTCTGTCAGTGCGCCCCAGGGCAGCTGTGGCTACATTGTAGCTCATCACCACCAGTGTGTGAATGTGTGTGTGAATGGGTGAATGACTGATTGTGTTGTAAAGAGCCTTGGGGGGTTCCAGAACTCTAGAAGGCGCTATATCAAATACAGGCCATTTACCATTTACCATAAGACTTGTTATGGACCAACTTTAATTGGAGGACATTAATTAGACCTTTGTGAACGTTCCAGATGGCTGTTCTGATGAGAGGCTTTGAACAGTGAACTAGACAATTTTGCATCTCTGACTGGTTCGACAACTCTTTACCGTGTCTACTGTTATGATTTTAACATGCTGCAAAAAGAAAAATGCTATTTCCACCCAGAAGAATGTGATCCTTTTACCATGTTGTTCTGACAAATGACTCATCTGCTGTTTGTTGTTCAATCAACAGCTGGTGGAAGAAGTTGCTGCCTGTGCCAACACGCCCCACAAGGCTCAGCTCTAGCATTTAGACTCGCTACTCAAACATGTCTGATGTTTCTCTACAATGATCACTCATCTGTTTATAAGATAGAAAGTACATCTGGCTATGATGTAGTGGTTGTGACTTCAACAGGTGTAGAATGAACAGAGAGTTTCTACATAAACACATTTAAAGAGGAATTGGGAAAAGAAAAAAAAAACAACCTCCAGTGACCTCACACATGGGTGTGATCGGCGAATCATCCGGTGGGACGCCACCGAGGGGTTCAGTCTCTACCGAGGCGTTGCCAGGGATACGCAGCACCAAAGCAAAGAGACGCTGGTCCCAGCGGAAGGGCTCCTTGGTCAGCTCGCTGCCCGGCAGCGGGGTGGTCAGGGGTAGGTGGAGCTACGGGCGGACACACACAAAGTTGTGACTTTTTATTTTCAAGTATAAACTCAAGCCTGCCATTAGTTAAAAATGTCTACAAAACTGCTAATTAAATGCAATAAAACCAACAGCACTGTGAAATTAAACATCTTTTAAACCTTACATGGAACTTTAAACTAGGGATGTCCCGATCAGGTTTTTTTGCCCTCGAGTCCGACTCATTTGATTTTGAGAATCTGCCAATACCGAAACCCGATCCGATACTTTTGATACATAAAAAAATAAGAAAAGGAAGAAACAGTTCCAGAATGTTCCTCATTTTTTATTTAATTACCTTTTTATTTTAATTTTTAACAACAGATCACTTCTGTGAGGTAGCTTAAACAATCAATAAATAAGAAATTCTTCCCTTTTGGGCTTAATTGCAAATATAAAAAGTCTAATATAAAAACAGATCGTACTTCAACTTAAAATACCTGGCAGGGGTCTATTTGGCCTCGGCCCCCAAAATGCTTAGCTACGTCCCTGGGCATGGGATGGAGTTTAGAAGATGATCTGAATTTTATCAAATACATAAAAACTACATGCTGATAAATTATTGCTTTATACAGGTACAAACGTGTAGTGGGATCAGTCTACCTACATTTTATTTATTAAGAACTTTGTTTTGTTTTCTTGGTTTTTATTTTCCTGTCTTCCTGTCCTGTCTGTCTCTGATCTTCCTGCATCTCCCAGTCCTCCAGAAAAATCTCCTGCCTGCTTCCTTCTTTTTCACCTCACAAGTAACTTTTTAACCAGCAGATCAAATTGATCTATTGACCGCAAAAAAGCAGAGTGTGCGCCGCGCTGCCCGGCTGCACCAGTGACGAGCGCTGCAGCGCGTCCACACGTCATGCTCAAATCCAGACAGAACTTACCAGAGAGAAAATGAACGGACACGAATGACTGTGTGTTAATTATATATTTTTTTGGTGACGCCACTTAGAAACTTAGAAAATGTTACTGTGGCCGTGTGCAGAACGCAGCTGGAGTTCATGAATAATCAGCGGTCTGCCTGCCGCTCTCTGCGTCTCTGCTCAAAAGAATCCCCGCTACGCTGAGTCCACATAAATAATCTAATATGGGTAGAAACCGGATCTCTTTTGTGCTCCTTCTGGGTGTGTATGTTAAGGGCATCAGGGGAGCCTGACAACCTTTAGGAGAACCAAGTTGCTCTCCTGTAATTTGAACCCAGTATCCGAGTCCGGATCGGGGCTTGGATCGGGAAGTAAAGCCTGAGTCCCGATCAGTCTGAAACCACGTGATCGGGGCCGATTTCCGACCATGTGATCGGATTGGGACATCCCTACTTTTAACCTAACCGTTAGCAGTCTGTGATTAAAGTTAGCATCAGACGCCATCAGAACACCGGGCCGGTTCGCCACTCACCTCGTCTTGCACAGAGTTGCTGCTGGTCAACTTGTTGCCGTCGCTGATGGCGATGATGATGGCCGGTTCAAGGAAAAAAGGATTCCTTCCCTTCAAAAAGGAGGATATTCAGAGTTAGTTAGATACATAATAAATGTAAATTATTATGAGGCGACAGTGGCACAGGAGCCAAGTGCTCGCCTCGTAATCGGAAGGTTGCAGGTTCGAACGCCGCTCAGTTTGTTGCCGTCTTTGTGCCCTTGGGAAAGACACTTAACCCACCTTACCTGCTGGTGGTGGTTGGAGGGACCGGTGGCGCCTGTGTACCGTAGATCCGCCTCTGTCAGTGTGCCCCAGGGCAGCTGTGGCTACAGTGAAGAGCAGTGCTAACAAACAAGCTAAGCTATACAGCTATATGGGTGTGTTAAAGGCATAAACACAAACGGATCATTTAGAGGGGACGAGTTTAAAACAGGCGCTAAGAAACAGAAACTCCATCCACGTCTGGTTTGTGTACTTCCACTAAAGTTTCCCTCCCCCCTCAGAAGGACAGAAGTGATGCGCATCTGAACGGAGCAGGAGATGATCTGCTCTTCTGTAGGTTACCATGACAACCTCTTTTTTTGGCTCTCCTCCATCACTAAAATCCTTTCATAGCGAGAACTTTCTCGGCATGCTGATGAGTTTGTGGTCGGGCCGAATGGCCAGACGGTGTTTGATCTCCATGTGTCGTGTCCTCTCAGAACAGGAACCTCCACTCTAGTCTTCATCGGTTAAGGTGAATGATTTTATGTTATTGTGGGTTACATGTTTGCCATCCAATTATTAAACTAGCGTTTATGAACATGTGCTCTCACCTTACCCTTCTGATTGGACTGATGAGGGTCAGGAATACCTCCCCGGCTGTCTCCCCCTTTACCTCACTTGCCCCTCTTAATCTCCCGGGGGAGAGTCATCTCATATGCTTGGAAGGCTCTTTGTTACTGTAGACCAGCAGTCTGCTGCCTTTTCCATCCAGGGAGACATTTTTCCTCTCAGTTCGGTCAAAATCATTACAGGACCTTGTTACAATTACTATTGATCATTTTTGATAAATAACTACAGAAGAGGATTAGGGCCACTGGGGTAAAGTTCTTTATTTTAAGTGAAAAAGGCAAAAGCAGTTTTTTTCTTTCTGGAAAAACTACCAGTGATAAGTTTTAAAATGTTAATAAAACTTGTAAAGAATGGATTTTTAAGGGACTTTTGTGTCATTTTTCAACAATTCCATGAAAACAGCCATAAAGCTGCTTAAATATGAACTTTTCATTATATCTATCTATAATTACTAATACGAGTTAGTTTCTAGACAAAGTTACTAAAAGCCACCTGTGGCTCTAGAACTGCAGGTTGCAGCCCTCTGCTATAGACGGAGACACTGTAGGGACATTGTAGCGTCCCCACAGGCTGAAATCTGCCGTCTCACTTTCTTGCTCCACAGCACTCTGAACATCTATAATCCAGGAGAAGATGAACCTCAGCAAAGAAATAAAAAGTAAAGGTAACAACTGTGTTGGTACTGATCCAATTTGGATCAGGCCAACCAATATGTATTTTTTTAAGGCTGGTGCCGATACCGATTTTTAAAGAATTTTTGTTGCCGATATCTAAAGCCGATTATTAAGGCCGATGTGTGTGTGTGTGTGTGTATATATGTGTGTATATATATATATGTGTGTGTGTATATATATATATATATATATATATATATATATATATATATATATATATATATATATATATATATATATATATATATATATATATATATATATATATATATATATATATATATATATATATATATATATGTGTGTGTGTAAATACACATGTATATACACATATATGTATATACATATATGTATATACTGTATATGTGTGTGTGTGTTAGCAGCACATTGGTTGTGAAAGACAACCGAACACTCACTGTGTGTAATATAAATTAAATAAGTCGATATATCTTTTAATATTTATTGAGCTTCAAATATAAAACACTCAACATAAAAAACATGGTGTGTTGGGGTCCTTTCTTCAGTATAGTATTGTGTAGTATTTAAGTTAAATCCGCCTTTAAAAATAATTTTGGCCAATATGGAAGAAATTTTATATATCGGCTCATTTTATCAGTCCGCCTCCAATTTAAAAACACTAATAGCTGCCTACAACCAGAGAGTAGAAAACTTGTGCTGCTGAGGAATTATTTGTCCTCCAGAAACATAAACAGCATTGTTTATAATACAAAGCTGAGTTCAGGTGTAATTACAGCCCCGTCATATTTCCTGAGAGGACATAATAGGTAACCTGGTTCCTGGTAAGTGTAACCAACCAGCTGCTCAGAAACGACAAAGCTGGTTATTAAATTATAATTATTGTCAAATCAACACACCAGTCATTAGGAGAACACACTAACCCTGACCTTGGCTTCAGCCGTGTGTGTGTGTGCAGCATGCATTATACATGTGGTGTGTTTGCATTCCCTTAAGTGAAGGGGATCTTCCAATTATCACACAGGAAGTGGTTTAGTCCGCTACGCTTCCAAAGAAAAGCCCAGACTGAGTTCCAGCACCAGGCGTGAAACTTACCGCGTAAGCTAGCTATACCGTGGACAACGTGAAGGTTAACACAAATAAGGACTTCTTCTCTAAACAGATTTTTCTGTTCCTCCTTCCAGAGAAAACATAAAAGCAAATCCTCAGTTCCATCTTACTAAATGGTGGGAACTGTGATGAATGGAGACTTTGACACGTTTCAGATAAGCTTTAAAACAGCTGTCTACACTTCACCCCCACCCCCCCCACATGGCTTCACTTTGAGCAGCTACAGCCAAATCATAAACTAACTAAATCGATGATGTCATCGGGCACATTGCCTGAAACGCTGAATTGCCTGCAGGTGTCGTGGGCTTGGTGAGTTTAGAGTGAAACCAACATACTGGAAACTGGTTTTTGTCCGTTCTACTTGGAACGTTTTCACACATTCATAAACGAAAACTTGTTATTTCTCAATATTGTTTTATTTTCTCTTTAGAAAAATCTTAATTACCCTGATGTTTCAGTGAAACTTATCTTGGCTTGTGTTGCTGACTTTTAGGTGAAACTGTAGATTTTCCTAAATATAAAAACTAGAACAAGCTCTCATCTGTGTTAAAGCATTTAACACTCATTATGAAACTTGTTTTCTGCTATTTTAAATTGGATTCAGTCTAATAATTCTCCAAATTGATAGCAGTTCAGCATCCATGTGCCAGAAGATATTAACTTTTAGAACAACATGGAGTCTAAGTTTTCCGGTCGGCTCATGGGTTCCCGGAAGAACAAAACAAAAAAAGAACGCAAGTCCACGGGACTTAAAGAGCTATTTTCTAATCCGCTTTGCTTTACGCCCTGGATCGCACATATGTTGTATTTCAATGAAAAGTATTGATGTGTTTGGATCACGCCTGTCACGTGTTTTGAGATTTATCGTAAATACTAGGACTACAGATCAGACGTCAGTACACCGCATATCGTATATGATGTCATCACAGAATATCCTCTCCCCTAGCGTAGCTGCTACTTCTCACATGGCCAGATTTATAGTAGTTCTTTCCTCCTGAAAGAAGGATTTGACATTCGCAGAACGTACAGCCATTTTTTCTGTTCATGTCTGGTTCGATGTCAATTCGTAATGCGTACTTGTAGTCCTGAACGTTTCACACAAGACCTAAAATAACTTTCGCCCTCGTTTGAAAATAAGAGCTTTCTTGGCATCAAAATGTTAAATTTCACGGATGTCTTGTGAAAACCATACGGGATCAGAAAATAGCATTTTTAGCCTCATTGACTTGTACTCATTTTCTCGTTCTTCCGGGGCCCCGTGGTCCTGAAGTAGATGGGCTTATGCTAGATTTTGTTTCAGAAATATAATCTGGTGCATATGAGATTAGCCTCTTTGCAACCTGCATCTAAGTTTTATGACTAAAAAGACATTTTAAAATTATAGCATGAAACACTGGACTTATAATCGGTCCCTGCTTCTTTGGTAGTTATGTTTGTGTGTGACTGCAGGGGTGTGTTTGGGTAGTAGATGCTTGTAGGACTGGGGCAGGGGAGTGGGGTTGTTGTGGGTGCGTTTAGTACATTTCCAGGGGACTACATACCTGTCCATAGTTGTCTATGCCAGTCACTAATCTATTGAGATTGAGTAAATCAAAAGATGTCCTCAGGGACTGTCCAACAGTGGTGAGTCCAGTAGCTTGGAGGTTCCTCAGCTCTGTCATGAATGTGGCGTGGCTCTCCTTCCACCCAGCCTTTATGGACAAAACAAAGCACGTGATTCATAAAAGCTACTGTTCTGGTCACTAAACTACTTTAAATAACTTATTTCCAGCTTTAATGTGGAAGTATGATGATATTTAGCTGGGATGAAGATCAGCGCCGCAGCCTGGATCCTCTCTGCTGCTGGTGTGACACCAGCTCGGATCACACATGACGATGTGGCACGGTCGCAGCGTGTTCGGGACAAAAGCGGCAATTTTCTCTCTGCTAAAGTAGTCTAGTTGTCCGTCACCCCTCCTCCTCCACCTCCCTCCCTCTCTCATATCACCTCTCTGTATAAATAACACCCAGAGTTCCTTGCTGCTCGCACTGAAATAAAATGTCGGCCATGTTTTAAAAGGGGTATGAAAGCTCCTCCTGGAGATTTTCTCTACAACAATTGATCACAAGGCGGCGGGGAGATGGAGGACAGTCAATCTGCGCAATGTAAAGCTGGACATGACCCGAAAGCAGATTCTACCTTGATCCCGAACGGAGCATCTTCAAAATTTACCAGCATGTACCGGTCCCCTCGGCTCGCCGGATCTCTCCCTCTGAGCTGTGGAAAATAGAGAATGATTTACGGTTACTGGGAGATCTCGGCTTGACAAGGCGAACTTGCAACAGCACAACGATAATCCGAACTAGAATCCCGTTTGGGATCTCCCAACATGAATGTGTCCCGTGGTCACAGTACCTTCATAAAAGTCTCAACAGCGCCTTTTGCTATGTCCAGATAGGTAGTGCCCAGATGGGTGCGCTGGTTCATTGAAGCGGACGTGTCTATCAGAAAAAGTAAAACGGGCATTGTGATGGTAATGACACGTTCTGCATGGACTTGGTGTCAGTACAACCGGCCAAAACGCAAAAAAAATCTTTTGTTCTCCTGCCGCCTGTCTCACCCCTCAGCTAGCTAGCTAGCTGGCTAACTGTCTCACACATTCTTTCAAAAAAGTGTAAGAATAGTGAGTATAGAAGCCCATTCCGGGAAAACTAAGCTAAAAGCCTCGAAACCTTGGGGCAGGTTAATGATTTACGATGGATTTTGATAATTTTTACAATATATTGTAAATATTCCTAAGTTTCATAGTAACAAAGTTCCCCCTCATAGTGACTCCCTGCTTCTCCCTACACTGAATGCGTTGTGTCTTCTCCGTTGCTTTTAAATGAAGCCCCGCACCTGACCCCGCCTCCTAAGCGCTCTTTTTCTGTCACGTGCAATCAACCCAGCTTTTGATTGGTTGAAGGAAGCCACTTATTAACATATCCAAATAAGGCCAAAGCTAGTTCTCTAGTGCGCATGCTTGCTTAACCAAATGACAGGAATGCAGGGAAAAATATTATTCACATACATTTTGTGTTTAGTAACGCGACACATGTGGTAGGAAAAGCCTTTTTGGAACACCCCAGCTGTTTTTCTTTAGCACCAGTTATCAACAGCCTTGTGTTTTGCCCTGCGGAGTGATTGCATAATCAACATTTTCCTCATATATGCACGGGCGTGGGCCAGTGTGAATGGAAACCCATAAAGACAAAATAAAAAGTACAGGCTGAGATGGATGTTGTAAGATTATAACTTAAGGAAGGTAGCCATTTGTTTAGAGAAAAGGAAAACAACACACTGAAATCATGACACTGTGTGATGATCATATAAAAGATTTTAACTAACAAAACGACCAGAAGGGTTATTTTTACAGTTTTTGAACTAACATATAAAAATCAAGACACCAAATAAGTCATTGTGCGTGTACTTTTGAGCTGTTTAAGTTGATTATATGTATAAACAATTATCTGTAGACTACTAGATATATTAGTGTCACCATCCTGTTTATGGTTCACTTTTCATGCCACATGACACTGAGTGAGATAGTGCAGCTCGATCAAAAACATCAACACTTCCGCAAAAACAAGACGAAACCAACCAGTGGCTGTGATCGCAGAGGGAAGGATGGTCTATCTTATTTTTGTCGTCCTATCGCACTGCACATAGTTCATCCGGTTTGTTACTGACACGTTTTTCAAAATAAAAGTAATCCTGTGGTAGGACATCAAAAATTCTTTCTTCAGTCTGCATGGTAGCGATTTTGGTAGCACTGCTGCCTCACAGCATGAAGGTAGGTTCAAATCCTGGCGGTGGCCTTTCAGGTAATACTATTTCCTTCTGTAGGCCTAAAATATGCATGTTAGTTGATTAGCATTTGAAAATGTATTCCTGGGTGTGTTGGACTGGTGGTTTACCTGTGTGTTCTTGTGATGGATGTAGAAAAAGATGGACTGAGACCAGAGTTTCCCCCACAGCTAATGACTGCTGGAGATAGACAACACCAACCTGCAACTAAGGAGGAAGTGGTTTGGAAATGGAAAAAGTGAGGGTAATATTGCTTAGATTTCCAGATTTTGCAATAACATTGTGAAAAATATACAAGCGTTTGCAAAATGTTATCACACGCACGCACAAATTACTGATCCTTTTTTGCGAAATTCTCAACCGAACATGACCGGAAGTACTTGTTGCTTGTTACTTGTTTCATTGTTTTTACGTGACTGCAGACAGGTTTTAATCTAATTTGACATTGTGTATGGGCCATAATTGTGTTGATGTTAACACAAATAGTACATTTAATACTTGTTATATGTGTTTTTAAGCGAAATCTTTGGTGTTTAAAATATTTCAACAAAAACAATGTTTTCTTATGAAGAAACTTTGTCAGTTTGTTAAATGTGTCAGTAGGAAGAATGTTCAAACACAAAAGCAAAAGACTGTGACAGATGGATGGGAGTTTATAAAACATAAATGCATTTTCCACAAAGGCCTACATTGTTATTTTATTTTCAGTGTCAGTCTGTTTGCATAGAAATTCACATGACTATCTTATGATGACTGTCATGAATAAAGTGAATATGCACACAACCTTAATATATTTGCACATTGCTGTTTTTGTGATAGATTTAGCAAAGCTATATTGTGGGAAATAAAATCTTAGATAGCTTCTAATCTTCGATAGCTGATATCTGTTGTGTGTACACTTAAAATGAGGACATATTGGATAATTTGTCTCACTGGAATATGTCTTAAATTCAGCAAAACTCACTGCAGCTAACCATATTTTCAGCCATATTCTTGTTAGCAATACATATTCCTTTCATTTATTGTTAAAAGTTCTCTATAAAATATCAACCAGCATTACTGCATCTAATGAGAAAATAAATGTTTATACACTAATTTTGTTAACTGAATGTAGTTGTTTTTGAGTGAACTTTTATTTTAGCCCTATAATTGAAAATGTTGAGCCAAATAAATTGGAGAGTTACTGAATTAGGATTAGGGTTAGCTGTTTAATGAGAAAAAAAAACCTCTCCTCTGTGGGAAGTTTGTGGTTATAAAGAACCAGGGCATGCTTTAGTATATCTGTAAAAAAAGACTCGGCCTCTTCAAACAGAAATAGATTTTAAAAATCAGGAAGAAAGAAAACTCTTTTGAGATTAAAACAATAGGCAGGTAGTTTAGAATAAACGCCAGAGTTCACCAGAAATTAAGATTTAAACCCAAAGGTTGTATATTTTGTTGATGGCAGACAATCATCACACACAGTAGTTGCTTTATTTACATTGTTGCTATCTTCCTCTTTACCACTAGAGGTCAGTAACGTTTTCAAATTCCTATACTTGCAGCTGAGACCAGTACAGTCTATGGCTGAGACAGATAAATGCATGAAATGCAGGAAAGAACGGGTTTGTTGGTATTTTGAATGAAGAAATCACAATATCACATAGTCAAATGCTCCAAATAGTGGATTTTTTATTATCTTTAAGACGCAAGCTTTAAACAACAACAGTGATGTAATTCTCTTTATGATATAAATTACACTTATTTTGAGTAACATAGAACACAAAACTACATTTCACCTCACAGAAAAATAACCTTTCCTCAAGTATTTAATTTGAAACAAAATTCAGTGTTCAAGTTGTAAAACCGAAGCTTTTATTTTGAAAACACTGCAGCAGCGCGAGGCGGAAGTTTTATTTGCTTTAGCGGAAGTGTCGTGTGTTTTTGACTGGGGGTGAAGTTAGCTGTCAGATGACTGGTTGTACCTCTGACCGGAGTCGTAATATTGCTTTTCCTGCTACATGTAGCTCCGTCGAACCGAGGCTCAGCCGCCAGGGTTCGGGGAGGTGTTATGGTTGTCTGAGACGGAGGTTCGGTCCACCCGCAGGCCATGGCGGCAGACATTCAGCCGCAGGCTAGGAAGCCATGCCTGCTGAGCAAAATCGAGGGTTTCCAGGAGATAGTGAGCTCGGCGGTGATCATTCCGAAGGAGGATGGCGTTATCAGCCTGTCTGAGGACAGGTAAGGTGTCGGGGACAGAAAAAACAAACCAGAATATAAATATTATACCCGCTACTGTCTAGTTTTTCTGTGTGTATCATTCGGATGAGGTGCAGAGACAGTAGCATGTTCCCCTAAACGTCAGCTGACAGGTGCTGCTGTGCAAGATAAGGACTGTAATCTGCATATTTTAATCGTATAAACACGTCTAACTGATCATAATTAAACCTTTGTTATTTTCAGGTGCTTGAGTGTTCATATTATTATGCATCAAACAGTTGTATCTATAAAGTTCACTCTATTTTAAATAACCAGTTTAATAGTTACTGTAAACCAGGGTGTTCATGAAACCACGTGACTCTTGCAGTTATTCAAAGGTTTTGTTTTAGTTTTAACAAGACTGCTTTTCTGAAATCTGAAGAAGTCGACATCAAGTTGCGTCTGTCAAATAAAAAAATAATTTATGATCCCTAAAAATGTAGAATTAGGTGGGAAAGAGCCCCGTTTTCGATTTGAGGCTATATTCATGTTTTTCTTTAATTTATGGTCCGAGGTTCTAGTCAGACCTCGTGTGCAGAGTTCAGTTGCGTCATGCAGATAAACACTGTATTGTGGTTAAAAGAGGAACAACTGAAGAGTATTAACTCATAGCTAGAGTCAGAGTTTAGCTTAGGTCTGTTTCAGCTTCATAAAAACGATTATTAGTAAATTATTGGTGGATTTATAAAAGCCAGCACTGGTTTATTATTACTAATCACTTTCAGTTCTGTAAACATCTCTGTGACGGTCGTGCTGAATTTGTATCTGTGTGTATTATTTGTTGTAGGACTGTCTGGTGTGGCCCGAGTCAGGCTGGTAGAAGCCAAATAGATCATGTGCAAAGTTTAAACCAAACATTTATTTCATGAATTCAAGTTTAGATGTGTTTAAATGAAAAATTACACATTATTTAAATGGCCAATGATACTTTTTAGATTATTTAATTAATTTCGATTCATTGGGAGAATCTAGCACCACATGAGCGGATCAGGTAAGTAGGTGAAAATAGTAAGAAGTGTGCAGCTGCGTCAAAGGGTAAACTGGTGGCGGAGGCTTAATGATGGTCCTGTTCCATTTAGAAGGAGTTCTGCTTGTTAGCATTTTTCCAGGATAACCAGCAGTGGAATGTGGAATGCAGCCCTCCCATGCTTTCCCTCTCGTTTCAAGTGAAAATGTCAGCAGTGAACCATCTCCACCTCAGATGTTTTAGATGTTTGGCTGCTCCCGCAGATAAAAGGGTCATTTAGAGTTTGCTGTAGAGCTTGACATTTTGTTGAGGTCATTTAACCTGTTAGTGCTATGATGGAGCAGAGAAACAACTAAAACATGTAGAGTAGTGGCACTTGAGACCACAAATATGTGATTAAAAATGTCAGTAAGGAAAAAAAACCCCTACAAATATTCAGTTTTATCAAAAAGTGGATTTAAAAGAGGGAAAAAAGTGGATTGTAGTTTTAATAAAGTTTAATCCACATGAATCAGATCATTTTAATTATCAGCTTGATTCAATACCGCTTACGTCACGTTACTGAGAGATGAAATGCAAAAAAAAAACCCATCATTTTAACACATAAAGCTAACTTCTGATGGTGTGTTTAGTGTCTCACTTTATACTTTAAGATTATTTTATTAATAAACCCACTCCTCATTATTAAAGGGTCCAATCCTCATCCTGAGCGATGTGGGAAAAGTTTGATCATTCCCAGGACTTACAGGAATCTTCTCAAAGTCCTTGAATCAGGAGCGATGGTGGAACTGTGTTGCTGAGAGCTCCCTCATTTCCTTCCAACCTCAGACTGATAAATTCTTCCAGAGCAGATTTAGATCATTCTCTAGAGTCGGTGAAATTCTGAAATCAGGTCAAACATTTCCCCCTTTTTCCCCCACAGTCTTTGTAAATCAGGAGTTTGTCTCGAACTTTTGTTGTTCTTTTCTTCGCAGAACAATTCGAGTCTGGCTGAAGCGAGACGGCGGTCAGTACTGGCCCAGTGTTTTCCACACCATGCCCTGTAAGTGACTGACTTGTGTCCAACTTAATGAATCACACACACGGCTCTTTCTGAATGACGCGTGTTTGGAGCTCCTGTAGGGTCCGTCCTGCTCCTCTCGGCGCTGCAGGGCTGCACCTCGGTGACGGTTTGCCCTTGATTTCCTCGAGTTGTGCAACTGAAGGAAATCTCACGCTGTAATCAGCAAGATCTGGCGCTAACAATAGCAGAGGCTGCAATTACTGGACCCACCCGTTGGATCGTAATAACTCAGATTTACTCAACAGAGTGAATTCTGAAGTGAATTCATGAAATAAACAACTGCTGACATTATTTCCTAGTTGTGTTTTGACGTTTCTGCGTCGGAGGTTTTTGCTCTGTGGAAACTTTTAGTCTGCAGGAACTTTACAGCCAACATGTTTGGTAAATAGTTTTTTCCATTTAGAGCCGACTTCTTCAGGAAATGCTAACATCGGACTGTTGAGGTGTCAAAATAAACTTCAGCTTTTCTACAGAAATCCGGTTATTTCAGGTTTAAAGGTTCACCTTTTATTCTAAAAATGATGCAAAGACCATAGAGGAGGTCTGGAGTTCTACATGAATGGTTGTTTTGGGCTCAGTGTGGCTGAGCTCCTGAAGTGCTGCTGCTTCTATTTCTAGAAGATTTCCTGTGATTAGATTTAAAACCTTAAAATCCGGAATAAGTGTTGTGCAGTTTAGAGGATCAGTGATTCATGATGACTTCTTTAAAAAAAAAAGAGAATTTTCCTGTTTTCAGGAAATTGTACAATTTTTTTAGAAATCCGTAAAAGTGATAGTCTTACCTAGCAACATTAGCTAGTAGCGTTACGCATGCAGAAGTTCACTCACAGAGGGGATGCGAGGACGTACCTAGTCTGATGCAGAGTTGGCCACATTTCTTATGGACAAGTTAGTCTCTCTCTATATATGAATCTATATATATAAATAAACAACACAACATGAGATTAATAGTTGTACAACAGTGTGTTTTAGCTCTGGTCGGCTAGAGCTGCTCATCAGTGAATGAAGCAGGGAGAGTGGCTAAGATGTGCATATATTTTTCTACCTCTAGATGGTGCTGTCTGAAGAAAAATCTGGATTTCTGCTTCATGATTTTAGCGAACAGTAACATTGGCGTCTTCTTTATGATAAAACTCATGGTAGTTTCCTCCTGCTGGCTTGATCTGGAATGTTTCAGCTGTTGCAAAGTTTACTTTTTTTTCAAAATTCATAAACAATTTCTTCCTGAATGGCCTCTGTTTGGAGAAACAGAGATTACACATTATAGTACTAATGAAAACAGTCAGGATCAGAACAGATTGTTGACTATTTTAAATGATTGATTTCAGTTGTCACCTTTTTCACACCTTCCCAGTTTGCAGGTATGATTTATGCTGGAATAAAACTATGAAGCTGCACAATTATCGTCATCGGGATAGCAGGACGTGCGATAGGCCCATCGCAAAGCACGTGAAAAACGGTGATAAATATTTGGTTCAAACATTTCCATCTGTGTCATACATCAACTTTTTGTAAACCAGCTCTGTTTTTTATGCGGAAGTATTATTTGACCAATCAAATGTAGTCCTTCTGATATGCGGCCAATCAGATGGGTCCGTTTCACGTAATACGCCCGCCCCCTACGTAGACCTTTAGGATGGGTGGAACGCAACACCCGAACTGAGTTAGCGGCGCTGTTCCCTTGTTCGTCATGCTGGCTCAGATTAACGAACGCACTTTGTGCTGAGGTTTCTGGAATCAGCGCTGCTTTCAAACGTGAACGTGAGTCCGCTCTGTGTCGTTAAGCAGCTGATAATAACCGGGCTGACTCCGACACATGCCGGTGAAAAAACCCACCTACCTTCATGTCGCTAGTGTTCCACCGGTTGGTGATGTTAGCCCCAGGCTCCGGTTAGCTTCCAGCTAAAAGGCTACAGCACTCTCCTCCCAGTCCCACCCTGCTAAAGAGGGCCTGGAAAAGTTCCCCCACACATCAAAGTGATTTTTCATTTATGAGCTTTTATAACCTTGTTCATCAGGATAGTTGATTTGCTGCTGCACATAAACTGTCAGTCAGAAGCTCTGCTAGCCAGTTATCTTAAGAGGAGCTAGTTCAATTTGTTAGCTTGTTATCAGAATCATAGTTGCAGTTTGATCATCTGAGCTGCTTTTTAAGATCTAGGTAAACTTGTTCAATTTGGGGTTAAAAACAAACGTTTTCACATATTTTCCATGTAGTTTTTTTTGCCAGTTCCTCTTCTGAAAGGTAGACAATTGTTTTTCTCTTTCCCTCAGAAAATCTTAATATTCTCCTAGTTTGGCCCAGCACAGATCACTTCCCAACTGCAGCAACAGCCTTATATCATAACCACATAAGTGGAGAAAATGTTCAGTAGCAATGAGAGAGAATTTGCTGTTACATGTAAGTGATGTTAACTATTATTTAACATTTAAAGTAATTTTCAGATTTTTTTTATTTATTCAAAAAAACCCTGGTAAGGGATGTTTTTCTGTATTTGGAGAATCAGAAAAAGTTTTATGGTGGAGGTGATGTTTTAAAGTCACTGAGAAACTGCATGCATGCAGTTTGTTGTTTTGCTGCTAATACAGTAGCAGGTGCAGCTGCATAATGTTGCAATAAAAATGTTATGTTGTAATGGAATTCATGCATTAGTTTTTGTTTGCTTTGAACCCAGAGCAGACGTCACACGCCAGACGACATCAACACTGCATACTTTAGTATTTGTTCATTTATCGGGAGTAATATCGATATCGCAATATTAAGCACTGTTATCGAATATCGCAGGTTTTCCTAATATCGTGCAGCCCTAATGAAGATGTTTAGTAGGGATGTAAGAAAATATCGATATGGCAATATATCGTGAGATTTTTTTCTGTGATATTACATCGATATAAGTTTTGGAAGAATTTACATGCAAAAATTGGTGTATTTTCTTTTCTTTTGGTGCAATTCAAACGCCGACCACTATTTGGCAGCAGTGTGCAACGGGTTTTGTTTCCGCCACTGAAATGTAAACCCCTCTGTTATGGTTCAGATACCTCATGTTAAACATGTTAAGTATCAGTTTGGACTTTTTATATAATATTCCTACAATAAATTCGGTAAAAAAAAATCTCTAACGTCGTTTGAATGAATGTATCGCAATATATCGTATCGTCTCCCGTATCGTGATACGTATCGTATCACCAGAATTTCACAATACACATCCCTAGAGTTTAGGAGATTGGAGCCTTTTCAACAGGAAACCATTGCATAAGTCCTGTCACATGTAATCTCTGTTTCTCCAAACAGAGGCTGGAGGTTTTGACGTGTGACCAGACGCATCATGCTCTGTTGTTTCTCTGTTTGTTGTCCAGCGTCGTGTTCCTGCATGTCCTTTAACCCAGAGACCAGGAGGCTGTCTGTGGGCATGGACTCTGGGAGTATCTGTGTAGGTCCAACTAAGCTCTTCCTGCCTTTAGTTCAGGAGCCAGTTATTGTTGATGCATCAGATACTGACGCTGCTCTCTCAGGTGATGGATTTCCATTTATTTAGACCTTTTTGATCATTTCCTTTAATGGCAACAGTCAGCCAGATTTTAATTTAGTCTAAACCCAGTTGTTCTTCTTGTATTAAACTATAAAATGAATTTAATTATTGAATATAATTAGTCTGAAGAATGTGATATACATGAAATAAACCTGTCAGGTTGTCATGATTTACCCTTTAGGTTCAATTCTAATGACCTACAAGGAATTATCAACTAAGAAACAAACTTTAATTAAAATAAAGAAAATTAAATGTAATTAAAGTTAAAATTCTCTATCTCAAAGCTCCTGATAAAATTAACTGAAGTTAACTAACTCTGACTCTTCATTTAAACAATAACAAACACCTATAGAAGAAAGCAGTGGACCTCATATGGATTTGTGTCTGTTTCCTGGCTTCAGGAGTTCGTTCTGTCTGAGGACTACAACAAGATGAGTCCGGCTCTCACGTACCAGGGTGAGGCTGGCTTTTATTGTGTTTGAGACTCATGTATAAACCAGAAAATGTTAAAAGTTTTCAAACACAAAATGAAATTTTGTTTCTGACAGAATTATATCCAACAGTAACTGTAATCTGATTTGTGTATTTTTGTGGTACTGACGTAGTTGAACCAGAGGATATTGAGTGTGTTTTGTTTATTTTGCAGCCCATCAGGGCCGAGTGACGGTGGTGCTGTTTGTGTTGGAGATGGAGTGGCTCCTGAGCACCGGGCAGGACAAAAACTTCACCTGGCACTGCTCAGAGAGCGGCCAGCAGCTGGGGTCGTACCGCACCGCGGCCTGGGTCTCTGGTCTGCAGTATCCTTGTTGCTCTCGTCGCTCTGAGTCGGCCTGCTAGCGTTTAGTCCAGCGGTCTGCAGCCTGAGGCTTTGCATTGCTCACACTGGTGACTAATGACTTTGGCTGGAAATGAAAAAAACAGACTAACTCATATTTTAAACTTGGATTTATTAAAACAGGCAGGCTGGCAGTTTTTTTTCATGGAATAATTGCCTTGAATTTCCTCAACAGAATGACACAAAAATGACCAGGAACAGTTTTAGATTTCTTTTTTTGCTAAAGTTATTATAATAGAAACATTCTTTTTTTTCGAGAAAGGACACCAAATGTCTTATAATGGACATTTATGGAGGAATAAAAAGATATTCCTGACTTTAATCTCTTTAAAAGTCATCCATCCATTTTCTCTTATCAGGGGTCAGGCTGTGGGGGCAGCTTCTCCACAGCCACTTGGGCCAGCTCCTCTGTGGGAATGCCAAGGTGTTCCCTGGCCAGATGAGAAACATAGTCCCTCCACCGTGTCCTCGGTCTACCTTTAGGTCTCCTCCCGGTTGGACGTGCCCAGAAAACCTCACCAGGGAGGTGTCCAGAAGGCATCCTCATCAGATGCCCGAGCCACCTTAACTCGCTCCCCCAATGTGGAGGAGCAGCGGGTCTACTCCGAGCCCAGACACCCTGCGGAGAAAACGTATTCCAGTCGCTTGTATCCGTGATCTCGTTCTTTAGGTCACTACCCAAAGCTCGTGACCATAGGTGAGGGTAGGAACGTAGATCCACCGGTAAATCGAGAGCGTTCCCTTCCGGGTCAGCTCTCTCTTCACCACGACAGACCGGTACAACGCCCGCAGCACCGATCCTCCTATCGATCTCACGCTCCATCTTTCCATCACTCGTGAACAAGACCCAGAGATACTTAAACTCCTCCAATTTCCTTTTAACAGTCAGAATCAAAGAAATATCCGTGGTCCTAATGCTCTTCTGTAAACATTTCCTCAAACTTATAAATAGTCTTTTCTTCTTCCGGCTCTTGGAGAGTACAGACGCTTTTTCCTCCTCTCCTCCCTGTCTTATCCCCAAGGCTCTTTGTCTGTCTCTGGGTGCATGGCGCTTCTGCATTTTTTCTGGAAAACTGGAAACTGAAATTATTAAAAATGGACCTGGTCAGTTGGTCTCTCAACGCCATTGAGAAAATGTTTTCAGCAATGAGAACAGGAGAAGGGGCTCCGGGGTGTCCCTCACGGACAGATCCAGCTGTGCATATCATGGACTCCTGGAAACAGTGGAACCTGATCTGCTTATCTCAACTGTCTGTGAAGGACTCTGAATACGTGTGGATATTCGTGGTGTTGGTGTCAGGTTTCGTGCTGTTTGGCCGGTGAGGTTACCTGGCTTTTCAGAAAATTAACGAGCTGTGGAGGAATATTGGCTCTTTCCCGGAGCTCAGGGATGGATTACACCGCACTGTAAATGCACAGACTCATATAATTGTCGAGATGAGTCGTAAGCTTGGAACTTTGACTGAGATTCATGCGTTGGCACAAAAGATGGATGTGATAAAGGAGCGAGTGGACGAATCAGCACGGATTGAGATAGATTAATTTACGCCATTATTAGATTTTGAGAGGTTGAGGACCAGTGGAACTTTGAGACAGAGAGGGAATTATCTCTGTCTGGCCCCAAAACTATTTCTTATCTGAATCTGGTGCCTTTGAGCCTGTGAGGCTGAAATGAATTACCGCCCCCCCAGAAGGAATGTGGAATGCTGCCGTCGCCATGGAAACTCTGTCTCCCTATCCCAGCCTGGGCGGGACTGCGAGCTGTGAAGGCCGCCGAATCGTTCCAGGAGTCACTGTGCCCTCTAAACCCAGCGACCTCCCACCCCTGTCCAGACTGAGGTGATGAGCGCTGCTTATCGCGGCTGCATTCACTGACGTGTGGAGAGTCCCAAACCCTACCGCCCCACCTAGTGGACACTTATGTTGTGTAATGTCTGAAGTCAGTTGCATTTCTGTCTGAGGTGTTTTTGCATAGCAAAGCTGCCCTCCCTGTGGAGGGTAACTCTGAAGTGCCTTTTTTTCCTCCACCTGAACCAACCCTCATATATAAACCCTCTGATCTCTATTAAGGTAGCGCGACTCGGGTTGCGAATGACCACAGTCACCAATTCTTGTCATGTGTCTATGCCTATTCATGTCTGATCTCTGAATTGTGTGTACTGAAACTCGAATTTCCCTCTGGGATTAATAAAGTATCTTTGAATTGAATTTTGTTTTCAGAAGGTCCTGTAACAGTTGTGGCCCTAATACACAAGTTTTATTCTGGTGAACTGAGGGGTGAAACGGCTCTTTGGGAGGTTGCAGACCCTGCTTTATTCAGACATGAATGTGAGGAGTGACTGATGTCGGATTCAGATATAAAAAAATCCTCTTGTTACAAAAGCATGCTCTATTTTAAGAGCAGAGCAGGTTAAGAGAGGGCAATTAAGATCAGGTCCCAGTGCTGATGGAGCGACTAACAATAGGAATCAGTCATGCTGCTGTCATGGAAACGGTCTGAGTAGGTTTCTGTAACGGGAACATGAAAGGCTGTGGGTGCTGAGCAGCGACACCGATCCATACTGATGAGGTCATATCCTGCTAACGCCACGAGATCAAACACTCAGCTTTAGTTTTGTTTCTCTACTTTAGCTTTTACAAGGTTCTTCACTTTTCTGTTGAAAGTTTCCCTTCGTCAGATCAAAGCCAGCGGTAAATGTTTTAATATTAGTTTTAAATGCTTTAATCTGCATGTAAATGTAATGAGCATCTTTGAACTTCCCGAAAATGTTCTTGGGTTGTAAACTGACCTGAAGGCGTTTTTCTTTCCTCTTCAGGTTTTGGAAAAGGTTTCTAAGCGGATTTGGATGATTTGCTGTGCCCAGTTTACCAGGGAAAAGAAGTGGTCTGTGTGTTTGTAGTTGTTTATCTTTTTTGTCTCCGCATATGTGTTGTAATGATTTAAGCAGGTCAGAGGTCAGCTGCAGAACCCCTCATCTTTATTGCATCAGCTTGCTGCTGACTTGGTAATATGTACAATTTTCCAGTTGCATTGAAAACACGTTAGGCCTCCTTTGTAGCAGCTGTTAATCAGAATAACTGCACTTGTGCTTTCCCACAACACATCTCGTGTTTTGGACCTTAATCTGAAACCAGATTTGACGTCGAGACCAGACATGCTTTTGTAGGGGACCAGTCTGGTCAGGTGACCATTCTGAAGTTGGAGCAGGACAGCTGCAGCCTGGTCACCACCTTCAAAGGACACACAGGTACACAGCATATATGGGATGTTAAAGGTCAGCCTGTGTGTCACCACTAAGGGTTTCTAGTTTCTGCAAAACAAGAAGGAAGATAAATTATAATAATTAATTTCAAGATGATTTAGAGGAACAAACCTCAACTTTAACATGAAATGGTTCAAAGATACATCCAGTTAGTGTTTTAAATACAAGAGAAGCATGCTTGTTTCCTGCTTCTCTTTAGGTAATGTGACGGCGCTGTGTTGGGATCCGGTCCAGAGGGTGCTGTTCTCCGGCAGCTTGGACCACTCCATCATCATGTGGGACATCGGAGGACGCAAAGGCACCGCCATCGAGCTGCAGGGACACAAGTGAGAACCAACACTAAAGAGACACTTTATAAAGAGATTAAAGTCAGAAGTGATACCTTGTGTGTGTGTGTGTGTGTGTGTGTGTGTGTGTGCGCGTCTGTCATTAGTGACAAAGTCCAGGGGTTGTGTTACGCCTCACACACCCGCCAGCTCATCTCCTGTAGCTCAGATGGAAGCATCGTCATCTGGAACATGGATGTAACTCGGCAAGAGGTGAGTGGAGATAACGACTCGACCTAGCAAAACACAAACGGGCTGTAGAGGAAATCCACGAGAGGCCACCTGATTAGCACAGCTTTCTTCATAATTCCTCTCTGAGTCCATCTTCATCTTCTGCCCATGCACACCCAGTTAGCCGGGACCCAACTGCTCTTTTACTCCATCAGAGCCATTTTCCCTTTCTCATCACAATCATTCTGCTGTGCCACCATATTCGAGCCAAACTCTCTTCTCTGCTCTATTTTCTGATTCGTTGCTCCTGTTGAAACTGTCATTCCACAGCGTGAGCTTTGAAACAACACCAGCAGGCTGCTGCAGCTCAACAGAGAGTGGCCTGCTGCAGGAATACCACCGTGCAGCTGCAGGTTAACCGATGGAGGAGAACTCTAACTAACATGTTAGCCAGTCTGAGTAGAAACGTGTCCTTATGAGACTCGGATGGCGCATTTATCACACAGATAACAGCATACTTATGTGTGATAAGGGTGGAGAAGGCCGTTCTTATGGCGGAGCTGCATGTAAACAGGAAGAAGAAGAAAACCGCCTCCAAAACCAGAATTAGAAACATCCTCACAAACTTCTGCATTTCATCAACAACAGGCCATTAAGATTCTGGAGGATTCTGCATCACACTGGTACAAAAACCAGTAGAACTACACATCCCACAATACACTGGGGAGAAGAGACTCAGCGGATTTTTAAACCCCGATGCAGTGACACGAACCAGGACTGATGTGCTGCACCCTTGTTCGGCTGTTTTTTTCCACTTGGGATGTGTCTCATTGTTGGTGTCTGATTTAGTAAAATGCAAAATAAATGGAGTTTCTAATCTCGTGTGCAGACGCCTGAGTGGCTGGACAGCGACTCCTGTCAGAAATGTGAGCAGCCATTTTTCTGGAACTTCAAACAGATGTGGGACAGTAAGAAGATCGGCCTTCGACAGGTACGTTTCACACCTGTTGGCCTTCGTTACTCAGATTAGATTACAGGCGAATCAAAGATCTGACTGAACTCTGACACTCTTACACTCTTCCAGCAAAATCTATACAGAATCCTTCAGCTTTGCCGAAGTATTTAGGAACAAGTGACTCTTTTATTGCCTCAGAAACAGGATTATGTGGTGGTCAGTGATCACAGATGGAGCTGTAACGGATTAAACCCTAATGACGGTGTTTCTAGAGATGTTTTTGTTTGATTTCACCCGAGTTAAAAAGGCGATGATGATTAATTTCAAAGAAAGAGTTAAAAAGGTCAACCTAAATGAAACCGAAGATGTGTCAGAAGATGAAAATAGAAAGAATCTTTAATGGCACCCACGTCTCAAACAAACGAGCCTCAAACCTCTGAATGGCGTCTGACCCAGAGATCTGATACTTTAACCAAAATAACCTCTTTGTTGTGTTTTACAGGCTAAACTCTCATTGCTGCTCCTGTTTGCTAGCCCGGCAAGCCAGACTAAATAAATATATTATTTAAAGCAAGAGTTTGGTCTAGTTCACTAGGCGACTGTTTGCATGAAATTTGCATCATTTATGAATAACTAGTCCTGCAGGTTGATCAGGAGGCACCAGGTCCAGCTGGGTCACCATTAAACAGAAAATCTCCATGTGACTCTGATTTCTAACTCATAAATGCTAGTGAATTAATCAAGGAGGTGAATTAACGACAACATTCATAACGTGTAACGAGTGACAAATGACTAAATGTGTTAAAGAAAGAACATGTTTGCCCATCTGGATACCACACACTGGATTCACAGACACACATTCAAACGTGTGTGAGTAGGTGAATGACTGATTGTGTTGTAAAGCGCCTTGGGGGGGTTCCAGGACTCTAGAAGGCGCTATATCAAATACAGGCCATCCGAACTGCTTACTTGGTATGAATTTTATTTACTGAGTAGAAATAAAAATATCTGGATTTACTAAGTTTGGAACCAAAAATGTAATTGGATGTTTTGTAATTCTCAGTTTAAAGCAGGGGCGTCAAACACGCGGCCCGCGAGCTGGATCAGGCCCGCACACAGTTTAAATCCGGCCCGCGAGATGATTGTGTAAACCTTATTTTCAGACTTTACAATGTAAAGTCTGAAAATAAGGTTTCATTTTTCAATTAAACTATTGGTGAAAGCTAAACGATGTCAGGTATCAGGAGTCAAAGACATGCATGAAACTGATATAGCCATGTGATCTGTGAATCAGTTAGTTGAATTACTGCGGAATAGTCTGGGTTTTTTGTTTTGTACACTTCAGGTGTTTTATTATTAATGGTGATGTTGTGCTTAGACTATTTTGGATACACTGTCCTCATGCTCTAGCTTTGTTTCATGGTGATTGTATTAAAAGAAAACAATCTGAAGAAGTTTTTAATTTATACATACTTTAATTTTACTGGTCTGGCCCACTTGGGACTAGATTTTCCTCAATGTGGCCCCTGAGCAAAACTGAGTTTGATACCCCTGGTTTAAAGGGAGAGTGTTTACTTGCTTTTAGCACCCCCTGGTGTCCGTTTAGCGAAACCAAAAGTGAAACTTATCTCCTCGCTGTTTTGACACCTAACGCCGGGGACACACTGGTCGCCGAAGCGCCGCGAAAAGGGGACTTCCTTCATTCGGCGCCCTTGTTATCCTATTCTATAGACCACATGGGCCGCCGAAGCACCGCACGCCGGCGCTCCAGCCCACGCCATGCAGCGATCGTTTCGGCGTCTGCTATATTTTTTTCACGAGCTGCAGGTGAGCCGCGTCAATTCTGGCAGGAAGTGAAACCTAGACATAAGAGGCAGGCCGGTAAATTTAACAAAATAAAGCATTTCAAAATACAATTCCACGATAGTCAAATGTGTTCGTAAACAGACACTGCATAAAAACCACACACACACACACACACACACACACACACACACACACACACACACACACACACACACGCACAAGTATACGCACACACACATGCACACAAGCACACACACAAGCACACACATGCACACACACACACAAGTATATGCACACACACATGCACACAAGCACACACATGCACACACACGCACAATTATACGCACACACACATGCACACAAGCACACACACAAGCACACACAAGCACACACACAAGTATACGCACACACACACACACACACACAAGTATACGCACACACACACACACACACACACACACACACACACACACACACGCAAGCACACACACAAGCACACACGCACAAGGATATGCACACACAAACATGTACACAAGCACACACACAAGCAAACACACGCGCAAGTATATGCACACACGCACACACACATACACACACACAAGCACACACAAGTACACACAAGCACACACACACACACACACACACACACACACACACACACACACACACACACACACACACACACACACACACACACACACACACAGCTAACTTGTGTGTGTGACCATGTGAAGGGGGTGTGGTTTTGGGTGTCTTTAAACCAGAGCAATCAGGACAGAGAGGCAGAAAGTCGTAGGCCAGCTATTAACAACTGGTTCACACCATAGGCACACACACACACACACACACACACACACACACACACACGCACACGCACAAGTATACGCACACACGCACACACACACGCACACAAGCGCACACACGCACACACACATGCACACAAGCACACACACAAGCACACACATGCACACACACACACAAGTATATGCACACACACACATGCACACAAGCACACACATGCACACACACGCACAATTATACGCACACACACATGCACACAAGCACACACACAAGCACACACAAGCACACACACACACACACACACACACACACACACACACACACACACACACACACACACACAAGCACACACGCACAAGGATACGCACACACAAACATGCACACAAGCACACACACAAGCAAACACACGCGCAAGTATATGCACACACGCACACACACATATACACACACACAAGCACACACAAGTACACACAAGCACACACACAAGCACACACACACACACACACACACACACACACGCACAAGTATACGCACACACGCACACACACATGCACACAAGCACACACACAAGCACACGCACACACACACAAGTATATGCACACACACATGCACACAAGCACACACATGCACACACACGCACAATTATACGCACACACACATGCACACAAGCACACACACAAGCACACACACAAGTATACGCACACACACACACACACACACACACACACACACACACACACACGCAAGCACACACACAAGCACACACGCACAAGGATACGCACACACAAACATGCACACAAGCACACTCACAAGCAAACACACGCGCAAGTATATGCACACACGCACACACACATACACACACACAAGCACACACAAGTACACACAAGCACACACACGCACACACACACACACACAGCAAGGGGGAGGGGGTGTAGAGGAAAAGAGCAGAGAAAAGGCAGAGAGGAAATGGAGGACACCAAGTGGTTAAAAGAAGAACTACGAGGCGCGCCTCGACCGGAGCGCAGAAACAAGCGTCTGGTCTGAACTGAGGAGCAGCGAGCAGTGGCTGAATTTCGTGAGCGCTTCGGCAGCCGGTGTGTCCCCGGCGTAACAGCTGAAATGTCTCCTCCTCAGCCTTTTAGTGTCAACAGGAGCGATTCAGAACTAAATCAATCAGATTTATTTGATTAAGAATAATATGTTTTATCAACACAGCTATGCTAAAGTTATAGACCCCCCTAGATTTTTTTGTAGTCCTTTAAAGAGATCAAACTAAATCTGCAGGTGTTCTAGAGTTTTTATTTTTTTAACTTTGGCTGCTTTTTCATCCGCTTTTTGGTGCAACTCATTACTTCTGTCAAACTTTAACCAAACCTTTACTTTTATTATTTCATATAGTTCAGCTGGAGCCTCTTTAGGACCTTGCTGCTGTAAAAACAGAAACTGGACAGAAAACGTGTAAAACTGTTGCTTCCAGTAAAGTCTGGTTACTTGGAAGGAAAAGCCAAAGAAGTTAGCCTTTTCTTTTTTAACCACCACCAGTTTTATCTGCTGCGGACAAGAGGAAGTGTTGCTATGACAGCTGTCCCATTTAACTTATCACGTGTGACTCAGCACCACTGCAGGAAGTGCGGCCAGGCCGTGTGCGGCAAGTGTTCGTCCAGACGTTCCACCATCCCCCTCATGGGCTTTGAGTTTGAGGTGCGCGTGTGTGACAGCTGCCACGAGTCCATCACCGACGAGGAGTGAGTAGCAATCCACCTCTGTTGCTGCTGCACACTCAGCCTTTGTGCTAACATAATAAATGTTTGTGTTCCAGCCGCGCGCCTACGGCCACCTTCCACGACAGCAAGCACAACATCGTTTACATGCACTATGAGCCCACCACTGGAAACCTGCTGACCTCCGGCTCTGACAAGGTCATCAAGGTGTGCATGAGCGGTTTCTGTTGTGATCCAGACTCTGGATTAGATGTCCTTTTGGAGGAACCCTAAAACGGATATAATACAGATGGCTTCACCCACCCAGCCTCCAGAAGCTTCTAATGAAGTCCAGATCTGATTCTGTTTATAATTCCTGTGACCACGAGTCAACGTTAGAGATGAGCTCTTCTCTCTTTACTCTAATGTTTTTATAATCCAGATTATGCAGCATGTGGAGAAGCTCTCAGTACTCTAGTGAAAGCGCTTTATTTTCCTGTCAGGTTGAATAATTTACGGTTGTTTCTTCTGCAGCTGTGGGACATGACCCCTGTGGTGTCCTGAGTCTTCACGGACGCTCTGGAAAACTGCGATGGCTTTATGGCACCTTGAGGAGCGAGAGAGGGACGCTCTGCAGCAGCGTCGGTGTCATCTGGATAATATTTAACAGTTATTTAACAAACGGTGGCTGGTGGACACTGTGAAGCCTGAGAACTGAGATTCTTTAGGAGACTTAATGGCGTTTTGACTTGTTGACACACATTACTGACCTAATTTTCATGCATTCTTTTCTGGTTTATCACTGGAAACTCACAAATCATTAACTAAACTTGGTCATTTTTCAGATATGAAGCTCTGATCAGCCAAACTGGACGCTAACCGAGTAAATGTCAGTCAGGCTGCACAGAAGTGCAGTTCAGGCCTGCTATTGTTGGGAGTAAGCGTCGCCTTCTGTAGGCCGAAGTTTTGTTTTACGCTTAATCACTTGTTGGAACAAAAGTCAACAAATATTCACTTTTTGTTGTTTTGTAAATTTAGCATTTGTTAATCAAAAGGCATTTGAATAGAAAATATTACTAAATATTTTATTTATGCGACTCCAGGACTGTTCAGTAACTTTCCTAATTCACCTAATTTCTTTTTATTATTGAGCTTTTTCTAAATTCGGAGACAAACTGTCTCATTTCCTTTAGGTTGACGTTTCTACGGGAGTGGTGTACACCAGGGTCATATCAGGTGACCTGACATCAACAAACGTTAAAGAGATCTAAGATGCTAAAGTCTGAATAAACACGTCGTATCTAGAACATTCTCACCTTTGAGATCCTGGGACGTTCCCACAGAGAACGCTACAAAAGAACGTTTTTTATTTACTTACCAAAAATCTTTTACTTTCTTTAAGTATTTTTCTTCCATTTTGAAGTGTTTCTCTGTAATACTTATAATAATTACAATTTTTCACTTCTGAAAAGCCTCAGCTTGAAGAAATAGCAATTAAGGTAAACAGGATCATGACCTTGCATTTCCTTTGCTCACATACTTTGAATGACCTCCAGTGTGAGTTGCTGCAGTCTAAAACCATTTTTAATTTGGCTTTAACACAAATCCACTTAGCTGCACACATGCTAGCCTTTAGCTCACAGTTCCTGTGGGATTGAAACGCTATTTCTCGTAACCAAGGCTGTTTAGGAAGCCATTTACAAGGAGTAATTATTGAAATGTTTACACAGAAAAACACTTTAAAATGTTCTTTAGGGTCAAAGACTCCCACTTTGATTTGGCATTTCTGCATTCTGATGGTGCTGTTAGCTAATTCAGCAGCAGATTTATTTTTACTAAAGGTTGTAGGCTCCAATTCCTTCAGATCTGTTAAATGTAGACTAACAGAAATTCTGTTCTGGAGAATTAACTCCAAAGTGAATATAAAGTAGATCCAGCCTCTTAATGCACAGGAAGCAACGATCAAATGATCAGCTTTACTACGGTCCGTGAACTCACCATTACGCAGCAGTTTAATAACAGATCTTACACGAGGAGGCTTTTACTTTCCAAGCATGATTTTCAAGTTGATCAGAAGTTTTCTTTTTATGCTCCAATTTTAATTTGAGAACTAGGGTATGGACCCTAAACAAGAATCAGTGCATCTCTAAGCTAGTTTCTGTCTGATTTCATGTTCAAGTGCAGCTATGAGGTTAACGGTTTGAACTAGAGCTCGTGTGTGTGTGTGTGTGTGTGTGTGTATGTGTGTGTGTGTGTGTGTGTGTGTGTGTGTGTGTGTGTGTGTGTGTGAAAGAATCGGGCTGCTCGCGGTTATTTAAAACATCTGTAAACTGAGGGGCAGCTTATTCTGGTTATTTATTCTACTCCATGTGGTTCTGTCATTTCTCACGTGTAACATGTCAGAATGAATCCATCTCCTAGGGAAAGAGGAGAACAAACAGGGTTTGAATTGTTAGTTTTTTTTTATCTTAATGTTGATTGTTGGCTTTAACGTTGATGCACTGGAATCAAAATCAAAAATCACACAAATCATCTTATTTTTTCCTCCCTGCGGCCACATCTGAGCTTTAATGATTAAGAATCTTTTTTGGGATTAAAATGAAGTTGGATTATGAATAATATCAGTTTTTCTGACCTGTGCATAAATGACCCTGCTAATTTATAGTTTAATATAGATGAGCATGAGACGTGCAACTGTGTGTGTGTGTGTGTGGGAGAAACCGGGATGAGATAATTTTATGACCAGTAAAGAGAGATGGTCATTTTTCTGTTTGAGTGTCCATGAATATCATCTTGTACATAAATAACTGATTAAAAGAGGTTTCTCCGAGCATCACTTCCTGTTTATGTGGTTTATAAATATTTTTGGTTGCTGCATCTCCAGTTCATGTCTTCCAAAGAGCTCAGTGACTAAAATCCCAGCTCATGTGGCCTCAAGGCCGTCAAACCAGAGAAATGCCTCACGATTCTTACTTAAAAAAAGAAGCTTGAGTTTTAAAGTAAATTCAAAGCAATCTGGCTTAAAGTGAATATTTAAGTAACTCAGTTACTTGTTTTCACACTGGACTATCACACGTGCTGATGTTAGTGTGCAACGCTGTAGTGTGTAAAGTTAGTTTTGATCATGTTTGTAGACAAAAGCATAAAAACCGTACAAAACACTTCATTTACATACATATTTGTCTCTGAGGTATCAAACGTGTTTAGCTGATCGACACAAGCATGCAAACATAGCTGGTGATCAGCGAGTGTTTAAGGATTTAAAACGCAGAGAGTTCACAGGCATCAAGGTTTGAACTTGAGAGCGAACTCCTCCAGCTCCACCAGCAGCTTCTCCTCCTCCTGGGGGGAGGAGCGGGACAAGGCGAGGGGCAGGTGTGTCGCTACCGGCTTACGATCTGAAAGGGAATGTGTGTGAACACTGCATTAGACCAGAACGGCTTGCAGCTGTTAGGAAAACGAGGAAAACACAAGCTATGCAGGGCGGTTCTGACCCTGGAAGAAGAGTCCACTTGGATTTTGAGTAGCAGCAGCAGACGCAGCGAGCCACACCACCGTGTCGGCCCCCATGGCCTCTGACCTCAGCCGGGACTGCATCTTAGCGTGGAATGAAGGCATAGACGACTGCACGGCTACAGGGAGGAAAAGGAGGGTTGTCACGGATTCTAAGAAGTCACAGGCATCTTTTCAGGAAGAGATAGTAAACTAAACATTTATTAAGTGTACCTGGTGTGTCGGCCCAGCCCGGGTGCATGGAGGAGAAGTGGATCTCTTTGTGCTGAAAGGCCCATCTCTCTGTGAGGATCACCTGCTGTCTCTGCCACACACACAAACATGTTACACAGCTGTTACAGGTTACATACAGATCTCAGAGAAGAGCTCCTATAAACCAGCGGGTTACTTTATTCTGAGCATAAGCCATGGTGCCGTCAAAGGTCCCCTTCTCAAACTGGAGGTCGTCCACGTTGAGCTTCTGAGTGAGCATGCCTCCGGATGACACGGTGATCTGATGGGAAACAACAAAAGAGAGGGTGTGTGTGAGAGAGATCACTTTTAACATGACATGACGTATTTCTGCTGAAGCTAACTCACCACTCTTGGATCTTCAACCTTCTTCAGTGCAGGAATCAGTGCAGTTGTGAGGATGTAAGTCCCTGAAAGTAAAAATCAGAACGCTGTAAATATGTGTTGAAGAGGTAAGAATGTACACAAATGTATGATGCTAGCATTTACATGGCTACTTTTAAGATTTCTAAATGACAAAACAACTTTTATTGCTCTAAGTATGATGATGTGTATTTTATTAGCTTCTCACCAAGTGTGTTTGTAGCAAAGTTCTTCTCCAAACCCTCCTCAGTCAGCTCTCTCTGGTTTACCATGCAGCCTGCATTGTTGACCTAGGACACACACACACACACACACACACACACACACACACACACACACACACACACACACACACACACACACACACACACACACACACACACACACACACACACACAATAAAATTCCAGAGCTAAACCAGAAGAATCACCAGACATCTGCACCCCCTACCAGCACGTGCACCACGTTGTTTTGAGAGAAGCTCTGTGCAAACTCCCACACCTGCCTCGCACTCGACATGTCAACGATGTAGACATGAACATTCTGGTGACGGACGAGAAAAAAATTTGATTACTTTTCCTTATGGCTGCAAAACTCAAAACAACCAATAGACAACTCAGTATAAACGCATGGAGCACCAAATCTGTAAAGGACCGATGCAGTACTCAACAAACAAACGCAGATAGGTTTTAGTTTGCTGTTTAGATTGCACGTTGCTAATGATTTATACAGAGACCCGGACTTGTCTGGTTACACATGATGACATGAACTGATTTCATTAAAGCTTGTTCAGATTAGCAGATAACACAACTTTTATGATTTAACTAACTTTTATAGGACAAACTGCTCCGCTGAGCCACATTTAGTGGCTTTGAAATGTTATAGCCCTGTTCATTAGAGTCCAGAGATAACGCCACGTTCCCCTGTCACTTTAACACTTTCCTGTCAGGTAAGACTAGAGCAGACAACGCCTCACTACAACCTCACCTGGTTTTTACTGTTTGCTATGATTTCAGCTTTAGCTGCTTCAGCTCGTCCTTTGTCTCGACAGACCATGTGAATAGTTCCTCCTGCAGAACCGACAAAGCATTAGTGAGTAACTCAAATGACCAGAAATAAACATTTATTCACTTAAATGTTGAAAACCACATTTAAAGGTTTAGGATGTGTATTTATAATTGCTGTTATACAGTCATAGATATCATTATCGCTCATTTTCTGTAAGTATCTGTCAGCAAAAACGGATGTAAATATGAAAAGAATTAAAAAAAAACTAAATTACATACAATTGCTAAAATATGACAGAACTTCACTTTTCTCCTAAAAGCTACACAAAAAGTAAAAAATAAATAAAAAGAAATCAAATAAAAACAGTATTGTATTTAGGAACTGCTGCTAATTTCGCCTCATAAACTGTGATAAAACCACAGAGCAATAAATAAATAAATAAAAATAAAAGAGAAACTTGTATTCAGACACTCCACCTCTGCTGGCGATTTCCTGTGCTGCAGCTTTCCCAATCCCACTGTTGGCTCCGGTGATGATGAAGGATCTTCCACTCAGGTTTACGTCCAGGTCAGAAGGCACAAAATGCTTGGCTGCAGTTTCATAACCACTCCTGTTAGGATCAGAGAGCTAGAATGTGTAAACGGCACTAAGACATGACAGATGAGGCAGACGTGTAGGAAAACTGCATTTACTTATGTAGCTGAGATCAGTTTTATTATTAGAAATATTACAAAAATAATGCTGTTGTTAATCATCTGTCTCCAGAGTTCAACACAGAAGAAAATTTACATCTGAGGAAAAATTAAAAGGGAAATTAATTATATCAATTTTCATAACTACAAAATAAAAGTTAGTTTTAGCAGTTTTTTTTTCGATCTAGTTTTATGTTAAATCTGCTATAAGAATATTAAGACCAGGAGTAAATTAAAAAAGTTCACCTGTTTGTCACGCTGTGTGATTTTAAAGAAATCCAGCATAAATATTAAAGATGACAGAGGGTATTAGGTACAGTATTTACATAAATGTCAGAGATTTAATACAAAGTATATTAAAGCTTCACATGGGCCCTTTTACATCACAGAATCACGTAATCAATTTTTGTTGAAAGGAAAGTAAATACTGTTAGATTTGTTTCTTCTGTTATTGGTTCGATATTATAATTTATGATCGCACTGTTACACAAGTGTTACACTTTACACAAGTGTGCTGCTGTTGTTACGCAAACCATGCAATTACAGAACTTTGCACCAATCTAAAATAAAACCATTCACCACACTTACTTCGTGTACTCCTGTAGTCCTTTCATAAACCAAACGGCGTTCCTATAAAAGGACATTTTCCCTCACATGCAGCTGACAACAAACAAGAGATGTTAGCGTTACAAAAACAAGCCAAGAATGCAATAGCAAGAATGTGGGCGGCAGCATCACGTGACCGACACACCCGGAAGTGATTTTGTTACAGAACGTTCATAGCGCCCCTTGTGGATGTCCCAGTTTATAATTTTCTGCTTGTTGGCAGTGAGTAAAAACATTTTATCGTTCAGAAAATGTTAAGTAGAGGAAACAAAGTGCAAAAAACTCAACCGATATACATGATGCACACATGTCATTTACATAGTTATACTAGTGTTTCCTCATTCCTATTTCAGATGTCAGGATGGCCGAGTGGTCTAAGGCGCCAGACTCAAGGTGAAAACCCTTCCCGTAAATGGGTATTCTGGTCTCCCGATGGAGGCGTGGGTTCGAATCCCACTTCTGACAATACTTTTGAGTCCCATTTAAAAATGATCTTTTTCAGGGTTACCGTATGTTCTCAAGAAGCAGCAAGCTGCCGTCATTTTAATTGGAATTTTAGAATCTGAGCAGGGAATCGTGTGAATGTTTCTTTCTTGATTTGCAGTTCTTACACTGCAAAGGAACCGGTCTCTTCACTTTTTATGACTCAAAATCAACATGTTATTTTCTTTAGTAAGCAAAAGTTCGAAGAGACATAAATAATCGATCCAACGCAATATCGCTTAAACAGACTTTTTAAACAATGTCCTTTTCACGTGTGCCGTCACAGCTGTCAAAAAAGCTGTTTGCGGGCCGGGACGGCGGAGTTGTCAGGATGGCCGAGCGGTCTAAGGCGCCAGACTCAAGGTGAAAACCTTCCTGCAAATGGGTATTCTGGTCTCCAATGGAGGCGTGGGTTCGAATCCCACTTCTGACAGCATTTGTTTTTCATTTAGTAGTCAAAGAAAATTGAGTAGATGTGAACAAACTAATCGCAACTAAAATACATGCCACAAATAATTTAAATTTCTCTATTACTCTCTATTTTATTACTCTAGTCTAAACTCATCATTACTGACCCTGAACATGTAATATAGGCAGTCACCTCTGTTGAGATGAAATTTAAGAGAAAGTACAAATCGGTGAAGAATAATAATTATCTTTATTCTAAAATTAGTAACAACTATAGAATTAATCATTTTCATTGATAATTTAAGAGTTGAACAAGTGGAACATAAACACATGTAGTCATGGAAGTAAATCAGAATATTTTCTCTCTTATTGAAACTAATTTATTTTTTGTTTTTGTTTCTTGCACAGAGGCTACAGTACAGAGTGTCCTAAAAAACGTAGAATGATCTACCTCTGGAAAACAACCAGGCCTCTTGTTTATCTGATTTTTATGTTGTTTTAACCTCTTTTGTATAAAGCTGTTTAGTGCTTTTTAAATTTTACTTATTTCGTTCCTGTTTTATGTTTTATGAATGCTGCAATATTTATTTTAAGTGTAATTAATGTAAAACACTTTGGTTTAATACTGTTTGTTCATAAAGTTTTTTTAAATAAATAAAGTCTGATTAGAATTAGATGAGTCTTGTAACAAAATTATTTAGTTGGGAAAGCACAGATGTTGTAATGTCACTAAGTTACCACAAGAGGACAACAAAATGCCATGTTAAGCAAGCGCCACAGATTAAGTAGTTTAGGTCTTAAAAGTGTCTTGCTCTACCTTAATTAAGGAGCAACAGATTAAACATATACAAACATTTATGATGTTATAAAAAAACAATTTTTGGATTTTTTAAAATGTTTTTTTTTTCATCCCAATATCATTAAAAACCATTAGTTTTTAAAGTAATTGATGCTGTTTTACCTGCAGTAGCATCTTCACACCTTAGTGCCATATGAAGGGGATGGCATCTCCTGGGATCCTGCAGGCTGTGGTGGAGAACATTTTATGAAAACCACAACTATTATGTACTTTATCACTTTTTACACACATTAGCTACTTGTTCTGCAGGAAGGTTAAATGTCTGTGACCTCGCCTCTCCTTCAAATTGTACTTTTGCAAGAAGAACACTTAAAGCTGTTGCACGTGACGTCACACCCCTCATGGGACCGCTCCCTTTGCCGTGATGGTTGGCAAAATAAAGTTTAGACACATTGAAACTTTTATCACTTTTATTTAGTTGATTTCACAGTAAAATAGTAATAGCTTACTGTGCTGTTGGTTGCACTAACAGTCAAGGATGTAAACTTAGCTCATCTTTTTTTTTCCCAATAACTTTGATGGACACTTAGGACAGGGATGAACAGCAGCGATCAATCAAACAGACTAGCAGCCCTCTTTGGAGTAATGTAGTAGAAGCAATGTAGGGTTAGGGTTAGACAGCCGCTCAGACAGATCTTGTCTCATCTCGGTGTGAGAGCAGCAGCTGAACCCGTTGACACTACCAGCAGCAACAATTGTTACGTTTTTAAAAATCAGCTTTGGTGCAAAGTAAAACGCTGTTTATAGCATTATGTTATAAATCCAGCGGGGTGAATTTTGACAAAGTCGGCGACTTCTTTACATCGGTGAACAGCCGCAGAAAGAACTTAAGCTAACGTTCGTATAGTTAACATACCACTCGCTATGAGCCCGCCTAGGTGCGCTACTTCTTCTGACAACTGAACTGGGCTTGAACTAGTTGAAGGAATGCTAAAGATCGCAAAAAATTGCATGTTCTACTTTTCCGTTTGTTGAGTACTCGAGTCGTAGCTATTTACATGCCTTTTCCAACCAATATGGTAGACCCACATGATTAGGTGACGCAGGTGCAAAGGGTCAGTAGGTGCTATAGCTATTCACGTTCATTACTCAGAAGCCACGCTCATCTACTTCCGGACCATGGGTCACCAGAAGAACGAAAAAATGAATGCAAGTCAATGGGGCTACAGTACACGCGCTATTTTCTAATTCTGCTTGTTATGTGTCTGGATTTCACCAGAACCACCATAAATCCAGCCACTTGGTAAGTAGAAACTACGCTAGGGGAGAGGAGATTATGTGGTGATGTCATGTATGCAACGTGCAGATGTCTGATTTGTAGTCATGCTAAGACAGGACAGGGTTTTATACACACAGGGGAGTAATCAGGGAAACGGAGAGCAGGTGTGACCAAAAATAATAATACTAATAATAGACGGAATAATGAAACCAGAGGCAGGGTAAACTAATTGAAACAGCTGAGAGGAGACATGAAGGAGAACCTGCAGACAGAAGGAGCTGGGGAGATGAGTGGGAGCCTCAACTATCGCCTGGATTAGAGACTACCTGACAAACAGACCACAGTTTGTGAGGCTGAAGAACTGCACATCAAACTAGGCGATCAGTAACATTGGAGCACCACAGGGGACTGTACTCTCACCCAGGGCCAGATTAAGACTTTGTTGTGCCCTGGGCAACAATATTCAAGGGCCCCATCATCACGACCCAAAGATCACCATAATATGGTCACATACAGAATATTTTACTGTAATATGCAGTAAATATACTCAATATTTGAATGCCTGACATCACGTAACCCACTCAGGGCAACCTTGTGTGGACTGACCAATGAGGAGAGGGTCTTAACTTGAGGCCATCTCTTCATTGGTCAGTCTGCATGTGACTGACTCTCAACTGACATTCAAAGTCATAGGCAGCGAAGCGTCTCTGTGCAGCGCAAAAGCCCGGGTGGACGGTTTGTTTAATATAGGGTGATCATATTTCCATTTCCAAAAAAGAGGACAGGGGATCTGTGCCTATGACGTCACACTATGGCAATGCCACACATACCACGTTGGGACTCATTTTTTTGTAAGAACTAAAATTAATATCAGATTCTGCCAACAAAAGGGCTCTAAAACAATTCATATGTAAATATTTTGCATATTTATTGCAAAATCTCATTTTTCAGCTTTAGTGCTACAACAAGGTTTTATTAATAAGAAATTATTATACCTTTTGTTTTACTACAGCATCGGTAAGCTTCCTGTGCACAGATTATTAAGGATGCTTGTTTCAGCTGTGAGATTAGACGATAGGATCAATGAAAAAATAAGTTGTCACACACTCCATGGAAACTTTCAGAGAATCCACAAATAGTGGCTTTCAAACGGTTTTGTTACTTTTTGCAAGTTTAGAAAAGAAGCAGATGAGACAGCATGTCTGATAATTTAGTTTTTCATCTGATAATATTAGAACATGTCAGTAATGTCTGAGGGGCTTTTATAAACACTGTATAACTAACAATACTGGAGAGGGTGGGAATTACACAGAGGGCTCTGGGGAGCCCAGTTATGGGGGGTGGGGGTCATTTTGCCTTGGCCCCCAAAATGTCTAGAAACAGCCCTGGCTGTGTGACTGAGTTTTGAAGGTGATCTGAACTGTATCAGATGTATAACTATGACATGTGTATAACTTATTGCTTTATACAGGTAAAAACTTGTAGTGGAGATAAATCTACCTACATTTTACTTTTCAACACTTTGTTTTGTTTTGTTTTCTTGTTTTTATTTAACCATTTTCCTGTCCTGTCTGTCTCTCATCTTCCTGCATCGCCTCTAAACCCTCCAGAAAAACTGCTGCCTGGATTCTTACTTTTTCACCTCATCAGTTACTTTTGAGCAGATCAAAGGAATCTCCTGACCGTAGCAGAGAGCGCGTTTCGATGCTGCGTCAGTGAGGTGGAGTCACCGCAGCAGAGGTGATGAGCTCCGCAGTAGCAGCGGGCTTCAGGCGCAAATAAGACAGAAAATAGAGAACATGTGCGGACATGAACGATCGTGTGCTAATTATAGATTTTTGGTTGCGCCACTTTGAGAATGGACCGTGCGCTGGAAGCAGCTGCCTGGATCGCTGCGCAACAACAATCAGCGCTCTGCAGCTCTCTGTGCTCTCTGCTCAAAAGAGTCCATAAATGATGTAATATAGGTAGAATTTTTTTCCGGCTCCCCTGGATGTGTAGGATATCCAGCTCCCCATAATTCGATCCCTGCTCCTGGATGAAAAACCAGACATTTTCATCAACCCCCAGTCCGGACGCCCCGGACAGAGAGTGAAAAGCGGACATGTCCGGGGAAAACAAGACGTACGGCCGCCCAAGTTTAATATAAAGTGGGAGATCACAGATACAGTATTTTGCTCGTGCCCTTGCTGCCCTGGGCCCTTTAGAGTTTGTGGGCCCTGGGCAATTGCCTAGTTGCCCATATGGTTAATCCGGCCTTGCTCTCACCATTCCTTTTCACCATGTACACCTCAGACTTCCAGTACAAATCAGAGACCTGTCATCTACAGAAATACTCAGATGACTCTGCAGTCGTCGGGTGTATCAGAGATGGACAGGAAGCTGAGAGAGCTGGTGGAGCACTTTGTGGCATGGTGTGGAAACAATCATCTGACCTTGAATGTGAACAAAACAAAGGAGATGATTTTAGACTTCAGAAGAAATAGGGTGGAGTCA